CTATTTTCTCATTAGATAAAATGGCTGTTATTGGTATGCTAATGGGTTGTAGAAGTTTTCAATGAGTTGACTTCGATAGTAATTTTGTTGCAGGCTGCTGCTCTGGCTCTTCGAAAAGTTCCTCAGTGCAATAGTTCATGGACCAACGACTGTATCCGACAGTAAGTATACAATAATGAACACTGTAATTCAGTTACGATACGACATTCCTTTGAACAACTTTTCTGTGGCAAATATCCAGGTATCACAATGTGAATATCAATGTTGCTGTGCAGACAGATAATGGACTTTACGTCCCTGTCATTCGGGTGAGTATTGGTTACTAAACAAAAAGATTGAGAGAATGGTTTTGATTTGAATTATTGTTTTCATGACACAAACCCTCCTTTGGAATTTGCAGGATGCTGACAAGAAAGGTCTATCCAAAATTGGCGAGGAAGTCAAACATTTGGCTCAGAAAGCAAAGGATAACAGCTTAAAACCAGAAGATTATGAGGTTAGAATGATCTTTTTTGTTAATTAAAGTTCGGCAAGTGATTATTGCTGTATGGTAATTAGTATGATTTTTGGATATCCTCTTTGCAGGGAGGCACATTTACTGTGTCAAATTTAGGAGGACCTTTCGGTATAAAGCAATTTTGTGCCATCATCAATCCTCCTCAGTCGGGCATTCTAGCTGTTGGGTCTGGTAAGATATATGGCCTTTTACTTTGTTTCTTTGGAGTATTATGGTGATGACCATCATTATCATCATTGACAAAATTGTCCTTGAGCAGCTGAGAAGAGGGTTATACCGGGTTCTGGCCCTGATCAATTCAAGTTTGCTTCCTACATGGCCACAACATTGAGCTGTGATCATCGTGTCATAGATGGTAAGTTGCCCAGACTATTAAGTTGTCTATAACCAGTGCCATTTATGTGAGGTGATATGACCCTAACTATTGCACTTTGGTTCTCTTTCCAGGTGCAATCGGTGCAGAATGGCTGAAAGCATTCAAAGGCTACATTGAAAATCCGGAATCAATGTTGCTGTAAATCAGTCAAGTCCTTTTTTTTTTCCCCGAAAATATTTTTGCCTCGCTGTGATCACTCAGAAAGAGGGACTCCAATTGATCACAGGGGATCGTTTCTGGCTTTCCATTTGCCTCGACTGATTGTATCACTCAGCGTAGTGGTTTGCCTATAGGAACAAGGGTTAGATTGGTTTTTCTGAATAAAGGGGGCCTTGAGGCATGAAACCACGTTCTGAATTTTGTTCATGTAGAGTGTAAAGACACCCCACCCCGTCTTTGTGCGATGATTTCAGCTGAGAAGATATTGGCTGCATTAACAGTGACTGCTTGTTAGAATAATAAATTATCTGTTTTTTCTTGGCAAGTAATAAATTATCTGCTTAGTTCTTTAATATATTACTAGTTTCAATTCACACTTTAAACTAATGCTTCGTTTGGTACGATAGAAAGTTGAAGGGATAAATAAAACATCATGTTTGGTAAGGAAGGAAAGTAGGAAAGATAGAAAAGAGGATGAATTAATATTCCTTTCAATTAACTAAAATCAATCCCTCTAAAATCGGAAGGAAAATTGATGAAAAGTTAATTATTTGTGTTGAGATGTATTTTATTTGTTTATATATCTTATGTATACATTAATTTTATATAAAAATACAATGGTAAAATATGTGTATATATTTTAAAAAATTTAAAAATTAATTTTAAAAAAAAATATAAAAATAAAATATAAAAATTTTAAGTTAAAAAAAAATATTTTTTTTATCATTCGACTTAACACGATTATACGACTCGAAATCGATACGAAAATAAATAGGTCAACTTGTAACTTGATACGACACAATTAATTAAATGAGTTAAGTTAGGTTTGACTAATATTCGACACAAACTCGTAATGACTCAACACGAATCTAACACGACATGACTCGAATCTATTGTCACTCCTAATCTTAGCCAGCACAAAAAAAAAAATAGTCATTTTTATTTCTATTCATCCAACCAAACACAAAGAGAAGGAAAATGTATTCTTCTTACTTTAAGGATAGAAAGTGTATCACTCCTACTTTTCATCCTCCCGATCAAACGGAGCATAATTCTTGTTTTGTTTTTTGTATGGGAGTTAGATTCCTTGTATATCTTATATGATTCTCTTTAATTTGAATTTTGACAATTTCTTAAGGTTAAGTAATAATTTTTATAAATATTTTAGTCTTAGTTTCGGTATAAATGGTTTGTTTTTGATCGAATAGAGAAGAAGATTAGTAGAGGTACGAGTGAGTTGGCATCAACAGTTCTCATTGTTGAACTAAAAACAAAAGAAAATAAATCCAAAAAAGTTCACGTGGGAAAGACATCCAGAAAAAAAACTAGAATGGTGAGGAATTGATGATGCATTATTAGCAGGGATAACACAGCGTTGATGTCCTTCAAGTCGATTCTATCATGGCAGAAGATAAAGTTGCAATACAGTTGAGGGAATTGAATCAACCACAGGTACAGTATTTTTTTTTTAAAGACACTATTACATGGGTAGGTAGGAAGAGATAATAAGGTTTGAATTTGAAACCTTATAGTCTAACAACAAGATGGTAACTATTACCTATCAGACTTAGTTGTCCAGGTAAAAGAGAAGTAATGCAAGCAAGGCAGGCAGAATTGCATTTTATATCTAGAAAAATATAAGAATTTTTATTTTATACACTATTAAATTTAAGAATTTTTATGTCTAAAAGATTAAAAGAGTTGTAATGTGATATTTTCTAAACTTCTATTTGTTCATTCCGTGGAATAAATAATGGGATGAACAAATGACAACAATTTTAATTTATTAAGAGTAAAATGTGAGAAATATAATTCTTAATTCTTAAGAGTACAAATTAAAAATTTTAAAATCTTATACCGTACAAAGTGTAATTCTGCCTACACACAAAACAAGCACAAAGTAGCTTGAAAATTCAAACCAATCTGTCAAAGCCAGCCAGTGGCTTTCATGCAAATGAGAACGATCCACAACGAACACTCATCAAATGAATCTGCAACAGAATGGGATTCAAATTCAATGCACAGAACCACACTCGGGAGAAGAAGAGATTTTCATGTCGGCACGTATCTTCAAAAGTCCGAAAACGATAATCTATGTACTTATCGAACTCTGTTCTTGGTTCCTCAGGAACATTAAGGGTTTCCCTACTCTGGACTCGTGAACGAAAGGGATTTGGGTTGGAACCATGACATATGCATCTCAAATCTTTCGTAACTCTAAAAAGGTACACTCAGAATGTCACCATTTCTATTTTGGATTGGTAGCAATATGTGTGTGTAATTTGATGTTTTCAATTATGATTATACAGCTTGGAGATGTTTCCACCTTACGTCGGCATGACCATCCAATTTTGCAGCGTTGGCTTGCCAACATTTCATGGCCCTTTAATATCTTAGGAGATGGTAAATAAGCTGATTCTTCTTCTCTTTGGTATTTGTAACCCATCAGATGTCAAACTGCTGTTGCCTATTTCTTCATTGTTAAATATTTTGCTCTACCTTACCAAATAATTTGTTGAATGATGATATTATCGTACTACCTAATTTGGGTAACCATNTAAAATATAAAAATTTTAAGTTAAAAAAAAATATTTTTTTTATCATTCGACTTAACACGATTATACGACTCGAAATCGATACGAAAATAAATAGGTCAACTTGTAACTTGATACGACACAATTAATTAAATGAGTTAAGTTAGGTTTGACTAATATTCGACACAAACTCGTAATGACTCAACACGAATCTAACACGACATGACTCGAATCTATTGTCACTCCTAATCTTAGCCAGCACAAAAAAAAAAATAGTCATTTTTATTTCTATTCATCCAACCAAACACAAAGAGAAGGAAAATGTATTCTTCTTACTTTAAGGATAGAAAGTGTATCACTCCTACTTTTCATCCTCCCGATCAAACGGAGCATAATTCTTGTTTTGTTTTTTGTATGGGAGTTAGATTCCTTGTATATCTTATATGATTCTCTTTAATTTGAATTTTGACAATTTCTTAAGGTTAAGTAATAATTTTTATAAATATTTTAGTCTTAGTGTCGGTATAAATGGTTTGTTTTTGATCGAATAGAGAAAAAGATTAGTAGAGATACGAGTGAGTTGGCATCAACAGTTCTCATTGTTGAACTAAAAACAAAAGAAAATAAATCCAAAAAAGTTCACGTGGGAAAGACATCCAGAAAAAAAACTAGAATGGTGAGGAATTGATGATGCATTATTAGCAGGGATAACACAGCGTTGATGTCCTTCAAGTCGATTCTATCATGGCAGAAGATAAAGTTGCAATACAGTTGAGGGAATTGAATCAACCACAGGTACAGTATTTTTTTTTTAAAGACACTATTACATGGGTAGGTAGGAAGAGATAATAAGGTTTGAATTTGAAACCTTATAGTCTAACAACAAGATGGTAACTATTACCTATCAGACTTAGTTGTCCAGGTAAAAGAGAAGTAATGCAAGCAAGGCAGGCAGAATTGCATTTTATATCTAGAAAAATATAAGAATTTTTATTTTATACACTATTAAATTTAAGAATTTTTATGTCTAAAAGATTAAAAGAGTTTTAATGTGATATTTTCTAAACTTCTATTTGTTCATTCCGTGGAATAAATAATGGGATGAACAAATGACAACAATTTTAATTTATTAAGAGTAAAATGTGAGAAATATAATTCTTAATTCTTAAGAGTNTTTAATGTGATATTTTCTAAACTTCTATTTGTTCATTCCGTGGAATAAATAATGGGATGAACAAATGACAAAAATTTTAATTTATTAAGAGTAAAATGTGAGAAATATAATTCTTAATTCTTAAGAGTACAAATTAAAAATTTTAAAATCTTATACCGTACAAAGTGTAATTCTGCCTACACACAAAACAAGCACAAAGTAGCTTGAAAATTCAAACCAATCTGTCAAAGCCAGCCAGTGGCTTTCATGCAAATGAGAACGATCCACAACGAACACTCATCAAATGAATCTGCAACAGAATGGGATTCAAATTCAATGCACAGAACCACACTCGGGAGAAGAAGAGATTTTCATGTCGGCACGTATCTTCAAAAGTCCGAAAACGATAATCTATATACTTATCGAACTCTGTTCTTGGTTCCTCAGGAACATTAAGGGTTTCCCTACTCTGGACTCGTGAACGAAAGGGATTTGGGTTGGAACCATGACATATGCATCTCAAATCTTTCGTAACTCTAAAAAGGTACACTCAGAATGTCACCATTTCTATTTTGGATTGGTAGCAATATGTGTGTGTAATTTGATGTTTTCAATTATGATTATACAGCTTGGAGATGTTTCCACCTTACGTCGGCATGACCATCCAATTTTGCTGCGTTGGCTTGCCAACATTTCATGGCCCTTTAATATCTTAGGAGATGGTAAATAAGCTGATTCTTCTTCTCTTTGGTATTTGTAACCCATCAGATGTCAAACTGCTGTTGCCTATTTCTTCATTGTTAAATATTTTGCTCTACCTTACCAAATAATTTGTTGAATGATGATATTATCGTACTACCTAATTTGGGTAACCATAAAATGTCTTGTTATGTTTTTTTTTCCCGGTGTGTATGTGATGGGAGTAGTAGACTTAAGAAATGGTTTTCATGAGTTGGTTCTTGGTTGCGATGGAACCTGTATATATTGTTTTACTAGGTAAGGGGTTTATTTCGTATACCCTGTAAATTAAGAGTTGCATAGAAACTCTCTTACTGCACTATGTTGCGGTAACCTGGCGTATCTTTTCGTGGGTGTACTTACAACACCTGATGTATTTTAACAGGAATCTCAAGGTTGATGTAAGATAGGGGTTGTGCTGGATATGTGAGTACTTATGCAGAACCCCCAGCTTGTAACTGAGATGCCAAGTTTTATTGCCCTGTTAGCATTCTCCCGTGCATGTAGTTGAGTCTGCTTTTGCATATACCATCAATAAGCTGTCATTGATGCTTCTAAATGACAGCCATACAATCTTAGGTACTGCTAACTGCCATTTTTTAGTCACCTGCTGGGGCTTCCTGCTATTCCTTGGTTCTATGGGTACACTAAGCACGAGATTATGACAGAAAGTAATTGCAATATATTGAAGGACTCCTTGGAAATTGGATTTCCATGGGGATATTTGATATGAAAATATTTGAACCATTTCTTTCTGAAACATGCCATGGAAAACTGGAATTATTTGATAAATATTAATGATAGAGAAGAGGAGGTAATCACTTGATCCATGTCAGAATGACATTTGCATCGCCTTTGAGGGCAGTTGTGAAGCTAGAAGAATATGTGCAGCATTAAGTTTGAGCTTGCAAAGTTCTGCCTGTTATAGTGCTTACTGGTATATCTATATGGTACTAATGTTCATGTGTTCTGCAAGGTTTACCCCAAGCACTAGGTCTCCTGCCATTTGTGTTGTTTACGTTATTTTTTGTCATATATGGTATTGCAATTCCAGTTTTATATAGTAGTGCGCCATATCTCTGTTCTGGGCTTAGTAAAATATATATTAATTATTTTTTAGCAATTTGTTTTCTCCCAGATCCTTTGGAATGCCATCAACTTGGTTATGTGCCTGGAGAAAGAGACAGGGTTGTAAGAATTCCACAGGATGCATTTCAAGTATATCCAGCTTTAGTCATAGTTACAAAACAATAAATCTAGCCATGTTGATCAGACCCGTCAAGCCTTTTCTTCTCCTCCCTCCCTTTCTCTTTGGGGTTGCCTTTTTGATTGCTTCATCATCCATTGTAGAAATTAGTGATCCTAGACTATCTTTTATGAATTTGGTTTTGTAGATATCATTAGTTGGAGTAGAGAAGGGAAATCGTTTGATGACAGCAATGAAAGTTGGAGCTCCAGTGGCTGGATTTGGGGTTAACAACCGGTTTTTATGGTAAGCTGTGCACAACATTTCTAATCCTCTTAATGCTCTCATATATATGTCCTCGGTTTTTATTTCATTTATTTAATTGCTTTATTTTTTCTGATATCAGGTCGCAGGTGCAACGCACAAGAAGTTTTTTGACAGATTCAGGTGTTGTTTCATGATACCANGTTCTCATATATATGTCCTCGGTTTTTATTTCATTTATTTAATTGCTTTATTTTTTCTGATATCAGGTCTCAGGTGCAACGCACAAGAAGTTTTTTGACAGATTCAGGTGTTGTTTCATGATACCATTTTGGTCTTAGAATGTAGTCGAATTGGGAAGCTTTTACTTTCTATAGATGTCCCTATTTAGTAAAAAGTCGTATTGTGTTCTGAGGGAGGTAATTGGTAGACATGGATCTTTCTTTNCATTTTGGTCTTAGAATGTAGTCGAATTGGGAAGCTTTTACTTTCTATAGATGTCCCTATTTAGTAAAAAGTCGTATTGTGTTCTGAGGGAGGTAATTGGTAGACATGGATCTTTCTTTCTAACTTACCCGACCATACTATTAACAATTAACATTCTGTAGTTTGGTTTCGAATGTTCCTCTGCTAGTGCTCCAACGTAATCCATGCTTCAATGATGCAAGAGATATATATCTCAGTTTCGTAAGGTCCATTAGCAGAAGACAAGGGAAATATATCTCCAATAATAAGCAAAGACTCAGCCTGGCTGAGTTCAATTCAGCCAAATGTTTCCCTTGCCTTGCCCAAGAAATATTTAAAACGTTATTAACCTTTTTGTTTTTCTTTGATCAATTACTAACTTTTCTGGTTTTCTCCTCTCTATGGTGTAGCTTCTCGTGGGAATGAAGTCTCAGCAACAGCTCCCAAGGTTGACAAAACAACTGCTGCAGCTCTAGAATATACCGACATTCCTAACTCTGAGATAACAAATGTAAACTTTGGAATGTTCCTTTTCATTGCCATCTTATTCCTAGTCTTATTGAACAACTTAGAGGGTTTAGATGCATGGCCCTTTTCCTCATGTGGGTCTATATATTCCCTCAATTTGGAGGTTTGATATCCATATTTAGTGTGCTCTATTTATTATTTACTAACAAATTTTGTCTTCTTGATTTTAATTAATCTTGACAGGTTATGGCTTCATGGTTTTTACTCTCCAAGCAAACTATTCCTCACTATTATTTAACGGTGGATACATGTGTCGACAATCTTATGGAGTGAGTCTGATCTCATCTCCTTTGTAAAGTTGTCCATATGTATCTTTTGGGAAATCTGAAATCCCGCTTTATCTGCAGCTTGCAAAGCCAACTTAATTTGTTACAAGAAGCTTCAGGTGGAAAGAGGATATCTTTTAATGATTTTGTAATTAAGGTATCAGATTTATTTGCAAAATACATCTTTTGGCTATCTGAGTCAACAGTGAGAGCTTGTGGTTTTTACTTGAAACCAAGGTGAAGTTTTGAATTGTTTAAGAAAAATTAACCAGATGCTGATGTGACAAAGAAATGTTTTATTTTCAACTTATGTGGCAACTGCTTTTCAGAATTTTGTTTTACAGCAATTAGATGCCTGAGAATAAACCAGGACATGATTAAGTTTTGTTGCCAAAGTTTAGCAAATAAAGTATTTTTTTGCTGTGTTGATCTGAGGGTGCTCTTCCGTTGTGAGTCGTCGTCAGTTTTGGGTAAATTGGCCCACATTATTTAACCAACCTTGTCCTTCCATACCCGCAGCAACCCAAAACAACGAAATGGGAACAACGTACATCTATTTTGATCAAAGTTTTCTCCTTTTTTATATCCCAGATGTTGTTGGTCTAAAACTTTCTCAATCAACTGACTTCAATTGAACTTGAACCACAGGGAGCTGCTTCGGCTCTACGAGAAGTTCCTCGGTGCAACAGTTCTTGGACCAGTGACTATATTCGCCAGTGGGTATTCAATGATAAACAGAGTAATTTAGCTACTTATGATATTCGTCATGACTTCTTCCTTTTGCCCATAATCCAGGTACCACAATGTGAATATCAAAGTTGCAGTTCAGACGGATAATGGGACACTTGCCCCTGTCATCAAGGTAAGTCATATTCCTTATTAAACATTGAATGATGCCAGTGCTTTTAGATTTAGACTTCATTTTTGGTATTTTTTTCTCAAAACAAATTACGTTGGAATTTGCAGGATGCTGACAAGAAAAGTCTGTCCATGATCGCCAAGGATGTTGCTGAGCAAGTCCAGCATTTGACCCAGAAAGCCGAGGAGAACAGCTTAACACCAGAAGACTACGAGGTTGGAACTATAACTTCTTGTTAAGTATATGTATCGTGTCACACATATATTGGGGCAAATTTTTTTTTTGTTAAATATGCACAAGTGCATGGTCGTACATTCATACTCATACATGATTCTTGTGTGTTCTCTTGGCAGGGAGGCACATTTACTTTGGTGAATTTGGGAGGGCCTCTCGGTGTTAAGCAATTCAGCGGTGTAATTCTTCCTCCTCAATCAGCTCTTTTAGCAGTGGGGTCGGGTAAGACGGGTTCTTATTGTATTTTCTTTCTCTGAACTATGTTGATTACCAGTTTCCTTATCATAATTATAAACAATCGTGTCTAAACAGCTGAGGAGAGGATCATACCCAGTTCTGGCCCTGATCGATTCAAGTCTGCTTCCTTCATGTCTGTGACATTGAGCTGTGATCATCGTGTTATCGATGGTAGGCTGTTTTCCTTATATCATGTTCTGAAATATAAACACACACCCCGATTAAGAAGGCTGCTCAGATATAGATTTTTTCAAATGCGAAATCATAGCTCGATTAAACAGTGCTCTTGGATATGATTCAATGGGGTACTTTGTGTTCAGGTGCTACGGCTGCAGAATGGCTGAAAGCATTCAAAGGCTACATTGAGCATCCCGAGTCGATGTTGCTTTAAGCAAGCTAGCCATTATTCTTCATGATAGATGACCAGGAAAGAAAGGTTCTCCGTTCTCTAAATGGTTGATCTTAATTTGGCGTGCTGGCCGTTGCTTCATTTCGTATAGTGATAATGTTTTCACTTTCTTAACGCTCTCCCCCCCTTGTACAATCAGTGGGGATGATAGACCCAGTTTCAATTGTTTCTTCTAATAATTTGAAATAAAGGAGGCCTTGGGGCTCTATATCATGAACCGAATGCAGTAGCTCTTGTAAAGACTCCATCTCTATAATTCAGTTGCGAATAATTGTATCATTTCCACTGTGAATCGTGTAAGAAATTTACTGTTTCGCGTCTTGGTTTGGAAGTTTCCAGTAAATCTTGTGCACTCCCTATGCCACCAAAATGCTTCTAGTTCTCTGTTTAGATGCAACATAAAGAAAGTGGGCAATGGTCTTAGTGACCCTGTTGATTCTCCGGTCAGATGTGACACACATTCACAAAAACACACAATTAGAGACAGAGAGAAAGATTTAATTGGCAACAACAATATTAAATGACTAGTTATTTTCTGTGCCTGAAGGCTCAGAGTAATAAAAAAAATAGTCAATAATAAACATATTTGTATTCACATCCAAAATCAAATCACAAAAATAGAGGAAAGAAAAATAAATCTAAGTACCGATTATAATAGGGGCGAGTGACAACAATGTTGGTGGTGGCAGATGATTATGGTTGTAGTGGGTGACAACAATCGTTGGTGATGGTGGTAGGGGTGATGACAGGAAACTTGCGGAGGCGAGAAGGTGGCGGCATCAATAGTTATGATAGAGGTGATGGTGGTGGTGGCGATAGTTGGGATATAGTGGTGTTGGTGGCGACGACGACAATGGTGGTGGTGGTGGGGGCAATGGTGGTGATTGTTGTTGAAGAGATGGTAGTGGGGTTGGGATAAGGGTGGTGGTGGGATGACAACAGTAGTGATAGTGGGGCGATGAGAGTGGTGGTGGTAGTGGAGTGACGACGACGACGANGGGATAAGGGTGGTGGTGGGATGACAACAGTAGTGATAGTGGGGCGATGAGAGTGGTGGTGGTAGTGGAGTGACGACGACGACGATGGTAGAAGTGTTTGTTGCTGTGGCAGAGATGGGGGGTGATGGGGGTGGGGGTAGTTGTGGTGGTGGTGGTGATGGTGGTGGTAGACTGGTGGGAGCGTGGTGGTGGTGGTAGTAAGACGATTTCAAACACTACTTTTTTTAAAACAAAGGAGAAGTTATAAATTTTAAAAATATTTTTAAAAAATTACGTTAAACATACCCTTAGAACCCTATTTTCTCTATTAAATTTAAAATATTATTATTAACCGTCAGATTAACTTTAAAGTAAAATTTAAAGAGATTTCAACCGTAAAAAACAAAAGTCATTTTATTTTTGTTTATTTTTTGAGATTTAAATTATATTGTACTTTATATCAAATGATATACAAAGACAAGCAGAGAAACATTGAAAAGTTTACATATATTTTCATTAGAACTACCAAATCATATTGACAAAATCGTCGAATTGCCAATAAATTATCAGATAATTGACTTCAATACAACATTATGCATCTTCCAACCTTAAATCACTCAAGCCCTCAGCCTTTATTTATTCTTCGTCACTCAATGTCTGTTAATTTTACACAACCCAGCATAGCCAAATATGATTCCGATTTAACTCACTTCTGTCCACTATCACACATGACATGATGACATCATTTCTACAACCTCTGCTGCTAAATATACAACCTTGTTTAATTTGCACTACTGTCCAAATCGTAGTCACAAATCAATATTTGACAGCTAAAACAAGAGATTATGCACAAAACAACAGAAAAGTTCAGAAACTATTGATGTCTACAAATCCATCTGCTAGTCTCTCTCAAACATCACACACACACACACAGGCACACTTCAAACATAAGTTAGCATTGGCTCTTACATTGACTATTATACTGAAACCAGCTTCCAAAGCCTGTTTTGGGAGGCCTTTACGCGCACCAGATAAACCTAAGATCTCATAAAAACTATGGGCCTCTTTTATGTGGTTTCTTCCTTGAGATTCCTGTTTCTAAACCCAGCGGTAGTAAATAGCTCCATAAGGAGTCGGGAACTCGAGATAGCTAACCAANAGCCTGTTTTGGGAGGCCTTTACGCGCACCAGATAAACCTAAGATCTCATAAAAACTATGGGCCTCTTTTATGTGGTTTCTTCCTTGAGATTCCTGTTTCTAAACCCAGCGGTAGTAAATAGCTCCATAAGGAGTCGAGAACTCGAGATAGCTAACCAATGTTGCATTTTTCTTCTCAATGAATAGACAATGACAACATTGATAGAGGACTACAAAAGGGTGATGGAGAGGCAAGGTTTTTCTGCCAAGCATAACTAGAACAACAAGCATTGAAGAAAAGCAACAGCATGGATCAAACATGGGTGTTGGGTTTTGAAGTCCTAGGCCTTAATACAAATGGGAGTTCATTGCCTTTAGAAAGTCGACGAAATCCTTCTCGTAAATCCAAAAGCTTCCAAGGACCTCTTGCCCATATTTTATTCCAGTTAATCACATTAGAACTACTTCCTNTTGAAGAAAAGCAACAGCATGGATCAAACATGGGTGTTGGGTTTTGAAGTCCTAGGCTTTAATACAAATGGGAGTTCATTGCCTTTAGAAAGTCGACGAAATCCAAAAGCTTCCAAGGACCTCTTGCCCATATTTTATTCCAGTTAATCACATTAGAACTACTTCCACTACCGTGTTCATAACACTCCAAACCTACTACAACAGACCCCACTTCCTCTTTATTGGTAGTGCATTGTTATTTTTGTTTTTAAGAGTTGCCATCCCAATTGTCCTCTTTGGTTCCAAGGATGAACTGAATGAACTAAATTGGATTCTGGTAGATTAGAAGGAACCATGGTCTTGAAAAAACGAAGGTGAGAGATGACTCAAAGCTGAGGGGAAGTTTATGAATCACAAATGTTCCTAAATGCCCATTTCATCAAATAAGAACAAAGCAACTATCTAGCTTCATTCGAGAGTCATCTATAGTTACATGTTGATTGCCAAACAATTATATGGTTGTCAATCTTAATAAGAACAAACACCCAATCACTGGCAGCAAAAACTACCCAAACATGGCATTTCATTGCAAAGACAGTTTACGATACACAAGATATCAAGATACCAACAATAATGCAAAACACACATGCATGTCTTCGAAAATTGATATACTCCCTCTGAGATTCAAAAGCAAAATTGCATTGTAACCAATGAACTCATGCCAAACGATTCCTCGGCGTCCTTACCATCTAGGCACATATGGTTGCTTCACAATGCCAGTTCCATTTCAGCAGCACCAATTGATGCAATGAAACTATCCATGACAAGAGGACAAGATACACATACCAAACTACTAAAAGCATACGTTTAACTTATTCATCATCCACCAGACCTCTTCTACAAAGTAGATTATACAATTTGATAAATAAGTACCTCAAAGCATGTACCTTCATGCCCAAATATGCTACTCAATATCATCAAATCATAATACCCAACAAACTACGAATGCAAACACCTTTTATACCTCAAAATAGGATCAAAATTGTAATAATAAGATTAAATTCGTAAGTTCATAAAGTCACAAACTGAAAGAAAGAATCCCTTTTTAGATGGGCACGTATCTCTTCAATACCTGCTTCCCGGTCACCGCCAACCCAACCACCACCCCACCGATCGCCCCAGCCACCGCCGCCGACCTCGGTCCCGACGCCGCCTTGTACAACGCACCAGTACCCAGTCCAGCCACCACGCTGTTGATAACGTCGTCCGTGTCCCTCACCGCCATCATCCCACTCTCCATTCCCGCATATAAAAGTCCAATCACCCCGGCCCGATTCCCAAACTTCCTGCCCGTATGACCCGAAGAGTTCAAGATCCGGTTGGCCCGGAGCTTCAAAGTGTCTCCCGGCTCGGAAGCCTTGATTCCGTCGATTAAACCTTTGCCGGCGCCGGTAACGGCTCCGGAGAGGTAACCGATGCCGGTGTAGTATGTAAGGTTCTCGCCCCAGGATCGGCGTTGATGGAGGGACTCTTCCTGGAAGAGGAATTCTGGGGAAGTGGGCAGCTTGTAGATGTTTTGGATTGGGACTTGGAGGTCTTGGTATGGGTTGTAGAGTCGACGATTTTGGTCTTGGTCTTCGTTGTGATTCGAAGGTCTTTGTTGATACGCCATGGTGGAGGACTAGGGTTGGGTTGATGGTTTCGTAAAATGAAGAGATCGGAGATAGAGAGAGAGCTTACGAGATTCGTTGGTTCCGGTGATTTTGGTCGGCTGTGTGTTTCTTTATTTTCTGGAACGTGCCCGGAAGTATCAAAGGATATTCTAAGAGTAAATTTCACTAATACTCCNGTTTCTTTATTTTCTGGAACGTGCCCGGAAGTATCAAAGGATATTCTAAGAGTAAATTTCACTAATACTCCTGCATAACGTTTACCGCTTTATAATTTTTTGGTATACTAATTAGGATTTTTTAAGAAAAAAATAATTTTTTAAGAAAAAAATAATTTTTTATTTTTTATTTTATTTCAATATAATAAAATATAAATTTTTATTGTAAAATTTAAAATATTTGATATTCTATCTTTAATTAAAATATTTTTTTGTCTAAGTATAATATTTTAAATTTAAAAAATATAAATAATATATTTATAAATTTTAAAGAATTTAGTTGTAATTTATTAACATATATGCGGCGATATAAATTTTAGGAGTTTGTATATAATATTTTAAATATCAAGAATTGAATGATTAAGTGATAAATTTTAGAGAATTTAAATATAATATTTTCTTTTGTCAATTTTATTCTTAAAATTCACACCTTGCATTAATACAGGTAAGACTGTCAAAATTTGACACAACATGATTAATTGACACAAATTAAACCGATTTGGATGATAAACGGGTTGACCAATCAGACTCGTTTAATAAACGGGTCGTGTTTGTCAATCCGTTTAAATAAATTTAATAAAATAATAAATTATATATATATATAAAATAATGAATGAGTCAAAAATAAAAAAAATAAAGAAAACATTTAAAAAAAAAAGTAAGCGATTAGTGAGGCATGACGTGAAGAGGGAGACCAATTGGCCATCAGTAAGGCCAACCCTTTTCATTGAATCCCACATCGACAATGAGTGAAGTGGGGAAACTCCTCTTGCCTATAAAAAACAGGCAGTGGCTTCACTTCTTCTCTGATTGTTTTGGTGTGATTTTTACGTGAGTTACTGGTTGACATTTTTTAATTGAAAGAACTACAATTTGAAGTAAAAAATTGGATTGGAAAAGTTTATTAAAACATTATTTTTATATTTCTTTTAAATGGGTCAAATGAACTGTGTTGTGTTTTTGTATTAAAATTTTTTATTTGTTTATTAAATGTGTTGTATTATCAGTGTATACGTTTTATATCTTTGACTTGTTTAATTCAGTAAGTAAGGCACTCACGCTAACTTCCGTCTAAATCTTGAGGAGCATCAACATCGAATACCACCTTAACTCTTTGCTCTTGCTAAGTGTGATTGCATCCACCCTCCACTGCCACCAAGTTGCCACATTCTCTACCATGAGGAGACTCCCAACCCTAAAGGCCCCTCATCAAGCATTCCTCCACAATTTTTTTATATTTATATCCTTATTCAATTACCGACCACTCCACGCTCTGTAGTTTAATTTTTATTTAGTTTCAATCTCAATTTATTAATTTATTTGTGATTTTAATTTCATATTTGTTTTTAAATTGAATGGGATTAGATTTTCAATTGGTAGAGGTATTGGTAGCGGTGGTTTTCACAAAATAGGTAAAAGTATTCATTATACAGCGTGGTGTGTGTGACTGTGTGCTATGTACAACGAGAGGGTGTGCAAGTTGTTGGTTTTGGCGTGTTGTGCATAGTATCGAGATTCTCCCTCTTATACAATATTAAAGTACAATAATCATATTTTCCAAAATTATGGAGGGAGTAATATGTATCTAGTGTCTTGCTCATTTATCTTCATTATGAACTACTTTCCGATACGTAATTATCACTTTTGACCATTGATAAACGAGTAAAATTCCTTAATTGAAACTGTAATTGGGCTGGTCATGTTATTTTACAAATATCATCGGGTAAATGTGTTATCTCCAAAAAATGAAGGGGACTTAAATGAAATTTATCCTTAAAATTCATATGTATATTTTGGACAAGTGTGTGCCAATTCTGTGGGAGGAAAATCAGAGAGATGAGAGTTACGAGTGTTCCCAATCCCACCATTTCGATCCCATCACCCTCCTTGCATCGCGGTCGACCGTCGTCGTCATCTACGGGTTTGGTCATCACTGTCCGTCGACGGCGTTCATCTCCTCGGCTAACCGTTCGATATCAGGCTTTGGGGTTTAATGGTCACGATGATGAGCATTTCAGCAAGAGCTCCATAAAGTATTGGGACAAGCGCCACCAGAACAAGGTCTCATATTCTTCGACTTAATTGAGCTGATTTTTTTTTTTTTTGTAGTTCTCAGCAGGGTAAAGATCGAGAAACTTTGTTCTGTTTACATTTATTACAGTTCTTCAAGGATCGGCATTACCTGGACAGGACTGGGGACAGTACTTTTCCGATGATAATACAATTTCTCCAAATGGGAAGGTTGTTTTAGNAGGATCGGCATTACCTGGACAGGACTGGGGACAGTACTTTTCCGATGATAATACAATTTCTCCAAATGGGAAGGTTGTTTTAGAGGTTCGTTGCTTCTACCCAGTACATTATGTGGTTCAAGTTGCTTACTTATGTTCTAATAATTTCGTTTTGTTTCTTTAAATTTAATTAATGATTGCAAATGTCCCCATTTCGGTAATATATCAAGCAATTGTATGATAATTATGACCTGTGAATTTAGATAGTGGTCTTTGGAATGCGGGTATATGAAATGCGTAATTCATCCTGGTATGATTGAATAAGTATTAGCGTAGTTTTTCTTTTGTGGGTTGATGAGAGTCCGTAATGTACATTTGTATCTAAGCTAAAGTACAAATTCCGGTTAATTATCAGATATAATCATATAATGTTGTTAGTAGATCAAAAGGCCAAGTATGTCATTTACTTGCTCACTAATGTATAAAGATACGATTCATGAGTTACTTGAGCAGTACTCATGATGAATCTTTTCATGAATATTATAGAGTGTTGCGGGGATAGATGTTATTCCTCTAACACGGAGGATGCTAGCCAACTTGTCATTTGAGTTGAAGAATGAGTAGCTCACTCTGGAGTCTGGACCTCACTTTCACTCTCCGCCAAACAAATTTATGCTAGTACTAAACCACTAAGTTCTTGTGCTGTACATGGATCAAGGGGCAGATGTATAGCCTCAAAAATATCCCAAAAACCTTGTCCGTAGGCATGATGAAACATGAGTAAGGGGTATTACCTTATTTCCAGAGAATTCCCTGACATTCTCCAGCAATCTTACTTATGTATATGTATACTTGTAGTTGAGGCTATTGCTTGGTGCTAGTGGTGGTGAAAGCTCGACTTACCAAGCGTGAAAATGCACGCATGAGTATTGGGGTGGCCACTTGGCTAGGATAACTAGTACTCGAGGTTAGGGCAGCCCTATCTGATTAATGATTTTTCTTATGAAAAATTCATTCATTATTGTTTTTTCTTGGGCAAATTCATCATTATTATTGACTTTGAGGCACATATCATATTATCTTGCTCCCTTCTCCCTTCTCCCTTCCTTCCTTCCTTTTTTTTTTTTTTGTTTTCTTTTTCTTTTTTTCTTTTTTTATTTTTATGTCAATATAACATGGGAATTAGCTACAATTTAATGAAATTTGGTCCTGACTCTAGTAAGCACCATTCCATTGCACTTTCAAGGTAGTAAAGCATCAATTGGTAATAGCTCTTTGTATAATTTGGCATGTTTTGGCAACTGGTGGGTTGTGGAGCTGGCAATACTATCTTTCCCCTTCTTGCTGCATATCCTAAACTTTTTGTTCACGCTTGTGATTTCTCAGACCATGCAGTCACACTTGTTAAGGTTTGTAACTTTGATTTTTGTTCACGCTTGAGTATTATCACGCTTGTGATAATACTCAAGTTTTACATAGAAAGAAAGAAAGAAGAATTCTCTTCGAAGTGTTATTTTTTCCATGTCTAGGTTCATTAAATGAGATTAAACAAGCCTGTTGCATCTGTGGATGTATCAGCTTTCTGATTCCTTGCCGTGCCCTCATTGGATGCATCCATGCGTAATGTTGTTCACTTATTGGTTGAAACTAGATAGTTTTGTCCTGTTTCTTTTGTATTAAACACAGTTAAAGAATCTTTACATAGTAATACTGTAAAAAGAGAAGAAAAAAAAAAAAGAAAGAGAAGAAACTTCGATGTGGTAATAGTTAATAGGTATCCCTTGAATAAAATCATGTCCAATAATGTAAAATCCCTTGAATGTCTCCTCCTGCTCGGTTTCACTTTCATCTTGATTAAACTGGAAGTTTTGTGGGTGTTTATTTAATCACATTGTGATTCTTTTTGTTCTAGTTTCGTCTAAAATAGATTTGTTTGTTGTTATCTCCCCTGGAAGGAGTCAATGCATCTATTCTGGATTCTTTCTCTGCAACATCTGCAAGTTGTTGAGCAGCCATAATGTATGACTTGCAACAATGGCATGGTTTTGATTTTAGATATTGAGTCGCCTTAGTGTCTATGGTTTCTACAATTATCTTTCCTAGTTGTTATAGTTCTGTCTGTGGCCAATGTTACTTTCTTCATATTCAGGAGTCCTTTTAATCAATTTTATGCATTTCAAGCAATGTTCCAAACCACATAAGTGAGNTGTGGCCAATGTTACTTTCTTCATATTCAGGAGTCCTTTTAATCAATTTTATGCATTTCAAGCAATGTTCCAAACCACATAAGTGAGATATTGAATGTCTATGTATTTTTAGTCTTACGTGGTTGTCAAGTATCATTTACTTGTGGTTTACGAGTTATGATTGAAAAGTGGCTGGCAGGAATATGCATGAATTTGGTTGTCCTGCTGAATGCAGTTGCACACAAGTTTCAATGAGGACCGGGTAAATGTATTTGTCTGTGATATTGCAAGTGACAATCTCTGCCACCATATTATGCCTTCTTCTGTTGATGTGATTACTTTGGTAAGTCTGGGCAGTGAAAGTGATAGTTCACGTATGTTATTGTCATATTCCTTGTTAAGTTTTTTCCCCATATATTGTGTATAATTGTTCTCATTTGATTTATATCGAATCAGAGCACTGCCTGTGTAAAGTATAAACACCTAACATGTTGAGTAGATTTTTATGTTGTCTGCAGTTTCTCCAAATAAGATGCATTTCGTAATACGGAATCTTAAAAAAGTATTAAAGGTAGCTCTTGAACAATAATGGTTAAGATTTCCTTTTGTCTTGTTTTTGCTCCATTTTTGCTGAATGTTATGTCATGGATATCTCATTTTGCAGCCAAATGGTTATGTTCTTTTAAGAGATTATGCCTTTGGTGATTTTGCTCGAGTAAGCATCCNGGTATTGAATGTCTATGTATTTTTAGTCTTACGTGGTTGTCAAGTATCATTTACTTGTGGTTTACGAGTTATGGTTGAAAAGTGGCTGGCAGGAATATGCATGAATTTGGTTGTCCTGCTGAATGCAGTTGCACACAAGTTTCAATGAGGACCGGGTAAATGTATTTGTCTGTGATATTGCAAGTGACAATCTCTGCCACCATATTATGCCTTCTTCTGTTGATGTGATTACTTTGGTAAGTCTGGGCAGTGAAAGTGATAGTTCACGTATGTTATTGTCATATTCCTTGTTAAGTTTTTTCCCCATATATTGTGTATAATTGTTCTCATTTGATTTATTCCGAATCAGAGCACTGCCTGTGTAAAGTATAAACACCTAACATGTTGAGTAGATTTTTATGTTGTCTGCAGTTTCTCCAAATAAGATGCATTTCGTAATACGGAATCTTAAAAAAGTATTAAAGGTAGCTCTTGAACAATAATGGTTAAGATTTCCTTTTGTCTTGTTTTTGCTCCATTTTTGCTGAATGTTATGTCATGGATATCTCATTTTGCAGCCAAATGGTTATGTTCTTTTAAGAGATTATGCCTTTGGTGATTTTGCTCGAGTAAGCATCCTGGTTTCCAGTCTATGCATTTTGTTTCCCTTGTCTTTATGTGACCTCATCCACATAAAAACCCCCCCTCACAGGCCCCTTCTGGCTATAATATTTATGTATTTTACTACTGTGTGAATTAAGCAACCAGGACCTTGGAGATGATTCATTATGTCGAGCAATTAATTTGTTGCCCCACACCTGTGAGTGGTACTTAATATGGCCTAGGATTTTGGCCAATGAATAGTGAGACAACTCTAGAAATGAAGCACATAAGTGGAAGAGTGCCTTCCTCTTATGTTGGCTAGAAGCAATATGCACGATCACCATTAAATAATCTTATTCGGGACCTTAACTTCGGGGTGATCTTGATTAGCAGAGTGAACATATTTAGAAAATTAGAAAGAAGATTCACAAGGGAAGGAGGTGGGTATCTAAAGTGTGATTTGCACAAACAACAATTTGGAAGAGAAATGTTCTACGTTTTAGGGTCTAAATACTATAATTTTCATAACAAGCATTGTTTAGGAGGTCAAGGAGATGGACATTCTATAAACTTCCTCACTGAGATTGCTAGGTGAACAAAAATCCCGATGGACGTGATGAGAAAGCACAAAGATCTGTTTAAAAGGCAGCAGGAGATGGCAGAGTCTGAAAGGCTGACTATTTAGAGCTCCAAAAGGATAAACACCCCAAAAGTAAGAGAATGTGTACCAACGTCTGACCAACTTTGAGGAAGAAAGGAAGAACTGAAGCAGACAACGGCTCAGTTTAGGGGCTTTGGTGACACAGTATTTTTCTCATCTGTTAGGGTGCCTTCATTGTTGCTGCTGACAGCAAAATGGCACATATTGTTATTCGTAGCTAAAATATCTCAACCGTGGAACCTTGCTGCATTGGCAATTAAGCCCAATTATCGAGTGTGCTATTATGGTTTGAAAATTGTTGCATACTATATTTAAAGATTGATAATTTGTTGCAATATGAATTCAAAATTTGAAACCATATTTTTTTTTTTTTTTTATGAAAAAAGCATCTCGTGCTTTTGTGCCACTGTTCTCCTCATTTGATTTTTTAAGTCTTGGCTGTACCCTTTTCTTCTGTTTCGTTGCATGTAACCACATCAAAGTAATGGGTGACAGTAAGATTCTTGACATATGTTCTGATGGCCAACTTTTCAGGTGAAGTTGCAAAACAGAAAGCAGATGATTAGTTTTATTTAAGAGGAGATGGCACTGTAAGAATTAAATCTATGATCATTACTGCACTATTATCCCGTAAATTGATTTGTTAGCCAAAGTTCTAATGGGTCTTAGATATATATACAGTGCTCCTTTTACTTTTCTGAAGATTTCTTGTCAGTCTTGTTTGTAAGAGCGGGCTTGAGCGTTGTGGATATCAACATATACTGCAGAAAAATTGAGAATCGTTCACTGAACATAACCGTGCACCGGTATATGAATGTCGTGCTTATCTTGTTGTTTTGATGCTTTAATTTTAAATCAAAATACTTTTAACATGTATAGTTACTTGTTAGGCGTTGGATACGCGCCATTTTCAGCAGCCTTTGATGGTGATGTTCCATGTTCCACTCAAATTTTGGCACGAGATGGTTGTTTGGTGACTTCTTTAATCAAATGATCCATAAATCAGCCAGGCAATTTGAAGCTCTACTCCTCTGAAGACGGAGCTATGGAGCAGTCGATGCATAAACATTTTTTTGGTGGAACTAAGTTTCCTACCACTGCATAGACAGACAAGCAATTGGAGTTCCTGGTAGACTTACGATACGAGTAGAAGCACTCCAAGCCAAAGATGTGTTCCCAGGTCTAGAATGATATGTGTTATCATCTTATGTTGCTTAACCTACTTGTATGTATTTAACCATCCTTTTCAAATGTCTGCTGCACTTGATTCTGGGTTACAAAGTTGTTACAGCTATTTCGAGCATAATTTGCAATAATCCCAAGGTTCAAAGCACAAATACAGCATTTACATTTGTCTCTTTTAAACTTGTTCATTAGATACAGAATAGCTTAGAAATTCACAAGTCAAGTGGATTCTGTCTTGGTTGTTCCGCATGTTTTGAATTATGGGTACTTATCCCATAAATCATTCCTGGCTTCATTGTCCAACCCAACATCCAGTATCCGGTTCAGTTCCGGCAATATGACCGAACCAAGGTCTGGCCTGTCCTTCCTTCTCAGCTCACAACATTGTAAAGCCAATTTTGCAAATGATAAAGCCTCTTCCACAGGCCAATCTGTTACTGTTGGATCAAGTATCTCTAAAAATGTCCCTTTCTCGATTGCCCTATCAATGTGGTGAGTCAAACCCATTGCTGGCTTTGCTGTAATAATTTGCAGTAAGATTACACCAAATGAATATATGTCCGATTTTGTGCCCAGCATCCCTGTTTGTTGATACTCGGGGTCGATGTAACAGAATGTCCCGGCTGCTGCTGTCATGTGGTATTGAGTTACATTATCAGCCACAGATGGTGGTACCAGCCTGGCTAAGCCAACGTCACTGATTTTGCTCACATAGTATTGGTCTAAGAGAATGTTGGCAGGTTTGAGATCTCGATGCACCAGGGGCTCTGGTTTTGCTTGATGAAAGAAAAGAAGGGCAGTGGCGATTTCAGCCGCTATTTTAAAGCGGGTTCTCCAAGAGATTGGGGGAGTGTTGTTTCTCCTGAAGAGTCTGTCTTCTAAGCTGCCATTTTCCATGTATTCATATACAAGGCATCCATACTCTGGGCACGCTCCTACGAGGAGAACCATGTTTGGATGTCTCATACGGCTTAGTACCTCAACCTGCATTGTCATAAAGTGGTAAAGGCAAGAGAAGATCAGATCAATGTACATGACAACCTTTCAGTTTTGGTACTTTCCCATGTGCTCATTAGTTTCAGAGTATTTTTGGTCATGGACATAATCGGTCATGCCAATAACTGAAAACTGTTCTAGTATGGGCTTATTCTCTTATTTCATTTTTTTGCTTATTGTACTTGTCTTTTCTATGAATCTTTGAAGGTTGAAAGGGATAGCTGGTGAGGATTGAGGTGAACAACAACAAAAAAAGGTGAACAACAAACAATGAATATGTAATACCTCTTGTTGAAATTGCTTTTTGCCTTGTGTAATGTCCGACCTCAAAACCTTGATGGCAACAGCAGTATGATCAAGAAAGGCTTTATAGACAGGTCCATATCCTCCTTCACCAATCTTTGCTGAATTGGAGAAGTAATTTGTGGCTATTTCAATTTCTTCAATGGTGTATTTTCTACACCGAATTTCGAAGCGTGCCAAGGCATCCATCACTTTATGCTTCTCTTCTTCCTCGTGCTCTGCTTTCATTTCTGCATGTCTTCGCTTCTGGGATTCCAATTCTGCTAGACGCTGTGCCATCTGTGCCGCTTCAATGGCCGCCTTGGATTTTCTCTTCTCCATCTCCACCATAGCCAATGCAGCCCCTTGGGCTTGCTTGGCTTCTTCCAACTTTCGTCCCTCTGCTGACTTCCATTGATTAATTTCTCTTTCCTGAGAAAACAGAAGAAAGTGGTTTAGATTTTTATGTAAGGTTAATATCCACACTTTCTGAAGATGTAATCTTACCTTCTCTTTAGCAGTCATTGCTTCTTTGCAAGCTGAACTGTACATTTCCATGGTTTGCTTTAGTTCTTGTTTCAATCTCCTCATTTCATCCTCTAGCTCATGCTGTAAAGTAACTCATCCAAATGAGGGTGTACAAGCAATGTAGATGAAGTTAACTGATCTATATAACTATGGGTGTTTTCTTTCAGATGCTGTTGGATATATTATAATGATAGATTATCCTCAACCATGCTGAAATGCAGCGTTATGTGATATTGAACTTACAGGAGTTTGGGAGGAGAGCGAGTTCCTGGAAGCATCTGATGTGAGGGAGTGGTCTAAAGTCTCAAAGGACAGATTAGATGATTGGAAACTAGATGGGCCTGAAAATCCACTGGATTCAGATGAAAAGGATGGACTTCCTTTCGTGCGAACCTGAAGATTAAGATTGGTTACTGACTGTTGGGGGGAAGGAATCTTGTTCCCAGCCATCCTGTCCCGTGTTGCCATCTGCATAAAATCGCTGCTCCCAAACGATATTCTGTCGCTGCTCCGATCAGACGATATTCTCTCACTGCTCCGATCAAACGATATTCTCTCACTGCTTCTGTCAAACGGCATTGTCTCCGAGCTGCCACTTCTCCAACTCACCTGATTAAAAGCTCTGCATTAACAAGGCATGAATCAAAAGTAACAAAGTTAAGCCTTCTATGCTGAGTAAAAGTTCTGTACTGGAAGACATTAAATCAAAATCAAGAAGGATTAAGGATTAAGTACATGTGATATAGTTTGCATGCTTCTTTTCCAATGTCATTATCTTTTTCATGTCTTGGAAAGAATTAAGATGACAAAACATGAGATGTTACAGTAATTGGTCTGAAAAACATGCAGCTCTGCCAACACATTATGAAGATTATGTTATGAAATTTCGTGACTCGCCTTTTGAAATCATCAGAGCCTGGGGTGTCGGATGAAGGTCCTGTTTGAGACTGTTTTCCGGAACTAGCTGTACTAGGAGTAGGGGGTCGGCTGGCCGACTTGACATTCTGAACTTTTCCCTTTGATACAGCATACACCGAACAAAAGTCTGGAGCAGATCTTCCTAAGGTAATTGACACATCTGCGATTTTAAATGCCCTGAAGGAGAAAACCAAAAATGGAGATTCTTTAGAAGTAAAAAAGAAAAGTCTGGATAATTACACCTCCTTAAGCTCCTTAACAAGGACTAGTGTCTAGAAATAGCTATAAAGAATTTAAAGGGTTGTGACTGTTGAACATGTAACAGGTTGCTCTATCAAGATGCTCTGTGGAATCAGTCAACCTGAAGATGAATGGACATCAGCCTAAAAGTGGGGCTAGTCGCCACACTCGCTAGCTTATATTATGGCCGTGCCCGAATTACAATGCACTTCCATAACCTGTGTGTGTGTGTGAGAGAGAGAGAGAGAGAGAGAGACCTCATTAGGGTGCTGCGGCTTGAAGCACCTACCACAAGAGTGGTGATGGAATTGTTATTGATAAACTCAGTCAGTGCATTTGCAACATCAAGGCCATGGAGGACCACCTCTTTTGGTCGAACCTGAAATCATCATTCAACCAAATATTGTGACAAGTCAAGCTCCATGCTTTTGCCAACTTTCAAGTATGTAATCTATCTTGGCCTCCTAAGATTTTCAGTTTTGTTAACTACATTTTTGCCTGCTGTTTTAGACATGAGCAAGCTAACTTTTGGAGCACATGTTTTGGTTCTGCCATGGATAAATCCAACAGCTAGTGTGATGGGAAAAAAAAAAGGCATAGAACCCCATGAATGATTTCTTGGAGTCAGACCATGAATGATTTATAGTCCCGGCATGGATGGTCTGTTTTTGACCAGACAGGAGATGGGATGTGTCGAGATGCAGGTAAGCTGATCTGGACCCTGACCGCAGAAAAAAAAAAAAAAAAGGCATAGAAGATAATGTAATTGAACCATTAGTGATGGCAATGCACTTTTTGATGCTGAATGTTTCAAAACAGGATCCTAATGTCACCTTACACATATAAGCTTTCAAAAGAAATGGCAGACTTAGAGAAGGATTCAAGGAACAATCAAGATCAAACATATAACAGTGCCCAAATCATGACAGAATCAGAGGGATTAAAGGGAGCCATATGTTGGGTAATCATGTCTTGGGCCAAGAAAACAGGGAAGAACATCAACGGTTTGTACAAGTAATTACCCCTTTTCGAGCACAAATTCCACGATAAGGAAGGAAGAATTGCTGCAATTCCACTTCTGTTGGTGCGCGACCTTCTTTAGGGACAGCACCCTCTGCAAAATCGAAAAACCCAGATTGAACTATGTGTGTTCAAACACTTGTATCCCACATTTGATGGTTAAAAAAGTGAGGAAATCAATTGACAAAAACCACGAGCTGGTCATACAGTGTTCGTTGCGACTTATTTTCAAACGTTTGGTAACAAATTTAACAATATTCAAACCTCAAATTAGTTTTTATCGTCATGATGAAAGAGCGAGGTACCTACGGGTTTGCATGCTCTGTTGGGTCTGTACATGGACGAGGATGACCTGACCGTTCCTCTTCAGGCGGTTTTCCAAGGCCCATTTCACACCATGGTGGCTGTTCTTATCTTTATCAATAGCTATGGCCGTGGCGATGATACCTTCTGACTCGTTATTAGCCATGATAACAAAAAAAAATGTCTGAAACGGTCTAGAAGGTTGTGCAACTGAACGCCGCTGCACCACCACCACCACCAAAACACAGAGTTTATATTAATAGTGGAATTGTATGCTTTGACATGGGTTTTTGACCGTAGGCCCCTGCATTTTCTCTCCTTTTTTAGAGGCGTTTGGCTAAATTTAGATGCAAATACAGATCATGCATGGTCATGGATGACTCATATCCAGAAAAAACTAACTTGACAGCTCCTAATAAAACCTGTATGAAATATTTGACATTTTTTGATTGTCATCTAACTATGGTTGTTAAGACTACCGAGGGTCCGGTGGGGACGGACCAAAATTTTCACCCGATATCAGAGGTTCGAATTTTGGAGTCCACTTTGAGATTTGATGATTATCCACTATATTAACGTTCATGTTTTAGAAGAGTAACAGATGAAGTCAAGAGCCTTATGATCTCATTAATTAGGATTTATAGGGATGATATCCGGACGTTCTCTTTTATCTCCGTCCCTTTTTTAACTAATAAAAAAAAAACTATGGTTGTTAAGGTTTTAGTTTGCAAGGTTTATGTTCTAATTTCAATTTACAAGGGGTAGACCGATGAATTGTTTCTAATAGTTTGGTTTGGTGGGAGTTAAGGTCTTCTGACTATTGCTAACGTGGTTATTTGAGAACGTTTGCGGATTCTTCCGTAACACCTATTTATCATTTTTAGAAGTAATACTCAGACTCAGACCTCCAATCCATGAGTTAAGCTCAAATCATTAAAAGATATGTCAGACTTAGTTCATGGCCTCAATTCAATCTAAAACTTAAGAGTCTAAGAAGAGTCAACGCTAATCAACAAGATAGTCATTACTCTAATATAGTATATATCCCTAATTGTATCTATTATATCCGGTAGATTAATAGCTTGACATTTACGTTACTATTTCAGTTAAGATTCTTTGTTTATAAATTGTAAACCTTCCACACATGAGAACAGAGATCTCATACACCTCACATTGAACGTACTCTTACTCTTTTCTCTCATACTATCTTATAGTCTTTTATTAATAGAGTTCTCTAGTCACTGTTCCTTGTAGTCTTTTATTAATAGAGTTTTTGGGTTATTGTTGCCGCTTTCAGTTCTTAGGTTACCTAGACTCAATCACCTAATTTTTGTGTCTTATTATTAATTGTTTTACACTATACACACTCGACTGATTTGATTGTGCATAATCAAATTTGTGCATCATTAATACCTATAAATCAATCCACCAAAATATAGGACTGTAGATCAATTTTGATATAGTTTCACAAATTTACAATTTAGACACAAGTCAATATTTTATGCAATTCACTTAATTTTTATCATATCCATTTGAGTGATAATGGATTGATGAATCAACTTTGGAGAACAATGGATTAATGGTAATCTTTATGGAATATTTCATGTCCACTTGTGTTATTCTCTTATAACGTTTGTCTATTAAAAAAAGGAATATTTTTTATATTTGTTTAAATTATTTACCAATATATTTTTAGTATTCAATGCATAATAAAAATACGGTTATTGGTAATCCTACGTTTTTTTTTAAATTTAGTTATGTTTCTGTAGCATATGTTATTTAATTAGCAATAAGATAATTGTATATGATCATTATATTAGATAATTTGAGAGTGAAATTAATATTATAAAAAGGCGTAATATTATTTAAATTTAAAAATTTAATTTAATTTGTTGATCTAATAATGTGATTTCATTAAAATCATTCAATTAATATTAAATTTCAATATTTATCGAGACTCATAATCAATCAAAATATCATAATAAACTAAGTCCAAATAACATTGTTCTAAGAACGTCGCATCACTTCTAAAGTTGTCAATAATAACTTTTCAGGACAATAGAAATATCTAGGACGAGCCTACGACGCCGAAGTTTTCGATGTTTATTTCGTCAAAAAAAATTCATGGGTATTAATGAAATGAACAACAAAAATTAATGGAAGGGCACATATTATAATTATATTTTATGCCCTAAAAGATTTTAAGATTCTCATTTTACACCCTTAATGATTAAATTTTTACATTACACATTTAATATATCAAAAGTGCTGCAATGTGATCTTTTTGATAGTTTTTCGTTAGTTTTTCCATCAATATCAATAAGTTGATTTTTAATGAAAGTTAACAAAAAGCTACATTGTAACAATTTTTATACATTGATAGTGCAATATGAAAATTTTAATCTTTAAAAATGTAAAATTAAAATCTTGAAATTTTTTAGGGTGTAAAATGTGAAAAATCCATATAAAAAATCTAATTTTTATTAAATCTTTTAGCATGCAATTCTCCCTAAATTTACAGAATTATTTTGGGTAAATGAATTAATAGATTCTTTGATCACACTAAATAACTTGATACATAATTATAGGGTTTTTTTTTTTTTGGGTATAATACGAAATTACTAAACAATTGTTATTTTTTGACCAATGACGAGTGGACACGTGTCCTTTTTTTGGGGTGGTCTGTCTCATGAAAAGTCCATGAGGACTTGCATTCATGTTAGCACTAAAGCATTTTCTATCCAGTGCATTGATTGAAGTTAGATAATCGAACCAACACGTGTCATAAAAAGCAGTGTTACCTATTATAGCTTTTCACACAAACTCTCTCTCTCTGTCTCTCGCCTCCAAGCTCAAGAAGTAAAAAAAAAATCTTGGAAAAGAGGCATCACTGGCCATATTTGGGGTCTTCAGTTCTTGGGTCTACTTTCAATTTGGTAAGCAGCTCTGAAACTGAGTGTGTGATTTTCCATTGTTATGAGAAGCTGAAACATCAATTAGTACTAGACCCATGTTACTGTAATTTTTTATTTATTTATACAATTTGCTGTCAAATTCTGATTGTGATTGGAGCAAGAAGAAAATTAGAGGAGACACAAATTTTAAGAGGCTGAGATGGGTTGCCTCAGATCCGTGAAAATCAGGTTTTATGAGGGAAAAAGGCACTACCTTTTTAGGTTTTCCTTGTGATTCTTGGGATGTTAGTATCCTTTTTCCTAGGTTCTTTCTCGTGAATCCCTTTTGCTTTTTCTTGCTGGGTTTTTGGATAAGAGCTTAAATTTGGCCTTTTCTCATGTGATTGTGTCTTAAAAGGGTTGGTGGTGGAGGTTGAATTTGGTATTCTTGGGTTGGTTCTTTAGTAGGAGGGAAGGATTTGGTAATTTCGAGAGACCAGGGAAACACACCTCTGTTCAGCCTTGAATTTCTATATAGTGAAGTTGGATCCATTGTTCTCCCCCAGATCTGACGACCCATTTTTGTGCTGCTTATATCTAATTCATTCCACCTTTAATTTGCTCTTGGTGGTCTGTCTAGTGCTTCTTGTATTACCTGTAGGAGACTGGTGGGTCTATTGACGTAATTAAAACTTTGCTCATACTTTAACTGATTCACACTGCAATCTGCACTTGGTGGTACACTTTGGGTTTGTTGTCTCTCATAGCGCCAAACTGAAGGGTGGTTTAATTTGTTTCACAATTGTTGGGTAGACACAGTGGAAACATGCAAGTCTAGCCCCCAAGTTCATTGTTGGAAGGCGGTGAATAGGTCAAGAAACAGTTGATTATATGAGTTTGGAGAGAGTCCAAGGTAATTGTGCATTTCTTGTCGCTTTGGAAAGAGGAAATTGATGGAAGACATGTCTCCGGCTGCTGCAGTTACACTTGGCTTAGGTAATCCTGTACACGATAACTCTAGAATCGCAAACCAGGTAGAAATCACGCGGCCCAAGTTAGTGACAGACACAACAAGCTCGTTATCGGATCCTGGAAAGATAGTGCCTGCAGAGTTCATTTCTGGTTGGGATGGAAGCTGCAATGGTGTAAATGAGGATGTTATTATGGGGAGCCCAACTGAAAGCACTCAGATNCACGGCCCAAGTTAGTGACAGACACAACAAGCTTGTTATCGGATCCTGGAAAGATAGTGCCTGCAGAGTTCATTTCTGGTTGGGATGGAAGTTGCAATGGTGTAAATGAGGATGTTATTATGGGGAGCCCAACTGAAAGCACTCAGATTCTTTGTGATTCGATGATTCAGGAAAGTGAGGAAAATGAAGTTTTGTCGGTTGCGGAGGACCCCGACGGAATTATAAGCGAGGAGCTGCTAGGTTTGGATGCTAGTTCAGACATGAGCTTGCCAATTGCTGTTGAGATCCAGGATGTTGACAATGGCCAAATTGTTGCTAAGGTGATTAGTATCAATGAGCAAAGTATTGAAAGGAAGCTGACTGGTGATCTCTTAACTGTGGCAGCTAGCCCAAAGGACGAGCTTTCTAATGGGCCTTCTCTAAAAGCATCTGTGGTAGCTCTTCAGTTGCCTCAAGACAAGGATCCTGGCAAAGGAGGTGTCCGGAGTGTTTTTGAATTGGATTGTCTGCCCCTTTGGGGTTCCATATCCCTACGTGGAGGAAGGCCAGAGATGGAAGATGCTATTATGGCTGTACCTCAGTTTATGAAAATTCCTATTAAATTGCTAATTGGTGATCGTGTGATAGAGGGGCTGAGTCAGAATTTGACTCACCTAACTTCACATTTTTTTGGAGTGTATGACGGTCATGGAGGCTCTCAGGTACTTCCGTTTCGTTTCAAATTTAAGACACCTTTTAATTGACGTTGTAATCCTCATGTAAATTCTTTTCTTATTTCTTTCAGAGCACTGTGAAACAATGCTCTGAATTGGGAAATATTATTGATTGGCCTACTTCATCACTTGGCGTGTTGGGCCAATTATTTTGTTGATGTTATGTTGCATAATATTTATGGGTGGTCTGTCTTACCAGATAGTTGTCCAAGTTATTAGCTAATCTGAATTACTTTTGACCATCCATGTGTATTTTGCTTATTCCAGAACTACATTTATTTATATGGCCAGTACATTATTACTTTTGTTGATAATACGATGAGGTATAGGCTAAAGAAAAACCTTCACTTTCACACATTTTTGTACAAAATGACTACTCTTGGACAGTTGGACTCAATCCTCTGTTATCAGGATTAGCAGGCCAACCGCTATGCGCATACATGCATAAAAAGAAAAAATATTGAGTGCACTAAAATTGTTGTTTCTTGTCAAAAAAAAAAAAAAAAATATTGACTGCACAAGGCTCTCGCCTATTGGTGAGTCTAAGAGTGGTAATTAGTAGGCAACCTTATGTACATACAAACAAAACAAAGATTGTACCAAGTGCAAGAGGTCTGGGAGATTTGTTTGCTAGGCCAGTTTACTCTCATTGTGGGGAGACTAATTTCTGGACTCAAACTCACGACATACTACTTGGGCGGATGAGCACTTTTCATTGCTCTAGGTCCTTCCTCATGCCTCACATGAACACGTGTATATACTATTTGGCACTTTTTTCATCCAACTCAATTTGTTTTGCCAGCATATTGGCGTGAAAACTGAGTGGTGTTTTATCATTCAGGTTGCAAACTATTGCCGTGATCGCATTCATTTGGCTTTGGCAGAGGAGTTAAAAGTAATTGAAGATAGTTTGGTGGAAAGAAGCATGAGGGACTCTTGGCAGTTGCGGTGGGAGAAAGTCTTTACTAGTTGTTTTCTAAAGGTTGATGATGAAGTTGGAGGAAGAGTTAGTAGAGGCATCTCTGGAGAAAATGCAGATTCCCCTGATCATACTTCTGAACCTGTTGCGCCTGAAACTGTTGGGTCTACTGCCGTTGTTGCATTAATCTGTTCATCACATATTATAGTTGCAAACTGTGGCGATTCAAGAGCAGTCCTTTATCGTGGGAAAGAAGCAATGGCATTGTCAATTGACCATAAAGTAAGCTTTTTAAAGTTTTGCATCTGTCTGCCTCTAAGAATTAAAACTCTGGTAAACCAATCTCAATATACTTTTTATTCTTTCCTTCTAATTTATTTGTCAGCCAAACCGAGAAGATGAATATGCGAGGATTGAAGCATCTGGGGGCAAGGTCATACAGTGGAATGGACACCGTGTTTTTGGTGTTCTAGCAATGTCAAGGTCTATTGGTACGTGTCTTTTGATTTATCATTATGTGATTGCATGGTTTGTGTGTTTGCATGCTCATCAGTTGCATGCGTGTGCATGTGTTTCCACAAACAATATCCCTGGCAACATTTGGAATTTTCTTTCTGATATTGAATACATTCCTAGGCAAATTGTGCAGGTTTTATTAGAGTTTCTATTGAGGGTTGGCATGCTATGAGTCATCTTTTAAATAGAGTCAAAACTTGGGGATGGTCAAATTTCATGGTGATTTTTTAAGTTTGTTATGTAGTATTGTTTTAACTGTCCCCGAAGACAAGATCCTGTGGGAAGTAGCAGCTTGTCATTGTGCTATCATGGTTGTTGAATCACATTTCTTGGGAAAAAGATATTCACACACAAAACTCGCCTATTAATTGCTCGCATGACTAAGGAAATTGGAATGCCATGCAGAGCGGGAAGATGAGATATCAGCCAGCAATTACAAAATGATACCAGTTCAATGTGCTGAGACTGGATTGTTTGCTAGATCCACTAGCTATTAGTCTCAAGTATGTTAAATGACGGAGGAGTACACTGATTTGTGAGGGTGGAACAGTATCATACAAGCTGAACCGGTTGAATTAACTAACTGGCTGATTTCTTCCAACTTTGACTTTCACTCAATGCATAAGCTGCTATAAATTTAAGCTCCAACTTATTAAGATCAACTTACACTTGCGTTCTTTAACATCCCAAAAACGAGTGAGCTAAAAACTATCAATTTTCGAGTTTGGGCATGAATCCTAAACTTTGGAGGAGACAGAAATGTAAATAACTATATACATATTTCTTTCATAAAACATTTTAGATGTCATTGGTGGTCCAAAAGTCTTTCTCCTTTCAGTATGTCGTTTTACATCATATTACAGTTGGTGGAAGAGGATTGATATAGCCAATCCCAGATAATGGGAATAAGACATTATTGAGTTGTTCCGCTTTTGCTACACCCCTATAGTCATTGATCATAGCAAAGCATCCATTTGTCCTAGTAACTGCAATTTGGTGTATTCATGATGACAAGCATTGTAATGATTCAAATGGAATAAGAAAAAGAGTCAAGGAGAAGTTGAAATTTTGAGCAGCATTTTTCTTCTTATCTGACATGTAGATTGTGCTTCAGATTATGTGTTTTGTTAACTTATTTATCTTGTCAAGGGCACACAAATGGATGATTATTACTTGACTAGATAGTGAAGAATGCATTTACTCGAACTCATTCTTTTCTGTCTACATAATTTTAATAGAGTACAAAATGATTGAAGAAATTATACATTTAACTTGTCATATTCTGCTCTTCCTTTCTTTGTGATCTTCAGGTGATAGATATTTGAAACCATGGATTATACCTGAACCAGAAGTCATGTTTGTTCCACGAGCTAGAGAGGATGAGTGCCTTATTTTGGCCAGTGATGGGTTGTGGGACGTTATGAGTAATGAGGAAGTGTGTGAAGTGGCTAGACGGCGGATTCTTCTGTGGCACAAAAAAAATGGAGTTGATTCTCTTGGAGAGAGGGGCCAAGGAGTTGATCCTGCAGCGCAAGCAGCAGCAGAGTACCTCTCAGTGCTTGCTCTCCATAGGGGAAGCAAGGATAACATTTCTGTGATTGTGGTGGACTTGAAAGCTCAGAGGAAGTTCAAGACCAAAACTTGAGGTCATCATGCATGAACGTTCACCCATCATTTGATTACAATATGTAGTTGTATACAGTGCAAAACTGCATCTTTATGTGACATAGTTCAGTCCATTCATTTTTCACGTGGGCTTAATGTGTGTATGAAAATAGCAATTAGTACTGTGTTATAGGAGGAACAGTTAACATTGCCTTGTATCTTAATTTTGTTATGCAGTATGCCACGTTATAACTCTGTAAATTGGAGCTGTTGTAGAGTGCTGTACTATTCCTTATTCTGTACTTTCTTTTCTTCTTGTTATTGTGCTTGCCTTTGTATTTAAAAGGGTTTACAGATGTTGGTCACACTAGCCTTCTTGAATAGACCAAGTGATGGTCACCCAAGCCACCCCCCATGGTTTCAGCCCGTATGTAGTCTTTGGGTAGCAAATCTGTCAAACTCGTACGTATGTAGTCTTCAGTTATCTTCCTACCAAATATTGAATCGATGGTAAACTGAAATTCCCAATGGTTAAGCACACGAATTCTTTTCCCACCGTATTCCTAACAAAAGTTAGCAAGGCTTGATCCANCATATGTAGTCTTCAGTTATCTTCCTACCAAATATTGAATCGATGGTAAACTGAAATTCCCAATGGTTAGGCACACGAATTCTTTTCCCACCGTATTCCTAACAAAAGTTAGCAAGGCTTGATCCATTGCAATAACAAGTAGTAGAACAAAACCTTGATGCATACAGCTATTTAACAACCAAGGGTAGAAGCCCTTTAAAATATGGCATGATATAAGAGCATGAGTGTAAACAGACCGTATAATAGTTCAAATAGAAGTGAAATTTCCTTGAAGTTGCTTACAGTGAGATGATGAATTTAAAAAAGAAATACAAACTATGAATCAGCAGAGGATACGAGTATTTGGGTTGTCCTTGCAGAAGTAACACAACAGCACATCCATTTACCGTCGCCGCTTCCTCCTCATCGTTGGAAATTGCAGTGGTACAGGAAGTGTAACCAGTAACAGGGGTCCCTCACGCACGAGCTTGCAGCCTAAATGTTCGTAATGTGGTCTCAATGCTACGGCATTCATTCTCAGATCCTTGGCTATATCTGATGGGTCAGTTCGGAAATTGTCAGCAAAGAGAGTAAGCACCAAGACATAGCTTATAAGAAGATCTCTCCTGTTATCCACAAGTCTTTTTGCATCTAAATCAGCAAACATGGCTGAAAACTTCTGGAATAAAATGCCTGGGATTTTATGATACTTTGCAGAGGAAAAACCATCCATAGAATGTTTGTCCTTGAACTTAATGAGATGAGTAATGTATGAAAGTATGCAAGCCAGCCTTTGCTTCTCGTCCTCATCCTATCATTTAAGAAGAAAAGGATAAGGCACACTAGTCATCCAACACACTGAAGAATATTCTGGTGTTTAATAATACAAATCTCAAATGTAGATTACAATGGTAGAACATATTTTTTAAAACCAAAAAGAGAAATTAGAATCAAAGTACTTGATAGTATAGGCAGTACCTTGATATGTTCCAATCCACCAACTCTGTTGCACACAAAGCTTGGATATGCATCAGGTTCCACTTCAGCTCCTCCTTGTGAAAGCTCAAAAATATCTAAGAGGTAGTCCCACTCTCCCCTGAAAATAATCTTTTCCAATGGATAAGCCATTTGGGGTGTAGTGGCTGACATATCATGGGGTGGGATATTACGAGCATTCGTACTAGTGTCAGCAACTTCAAGGGCCTCCTTGTTTATCGTGATTTCCTCTAATTTCCTGTCCAAGTCCTCCTTAGATCTGGGATCTTCTTTTTGACGAAGTGACTCACGTTTTTTAGCCTGCAAGGAAATAAATATATACTGAATAAGTATTTTGAGTGAAAAGTGTATGGTGCCCAAGTCTCATAGGATTTATCGACCTTCTCACAGCCTTTGCACGGTATACATGCAGATAATATCAATCCACCATCTGAGGGGCTCAAGCATCAAGTCTAAGAAAACTTCAGAGTCATGCAAGTAGCAAACCAAAATCACACCACTATAATGCATTACGTATGCAGTCACCAAATCACACCACCATAATGCATTACATATGCAGTCACCAAAACAGACATACAGCCTATCTTAATACCCATTGAGGAAGTCAAACCACGCACATGTAGAGGAAGACATATATCCTTTAATAACCTGGAAAACGAGACATACCTGTCTTATTGTCTTTTTAGTTGAATACATGAGGGTCAGATCTTTTAATTTGTCAGCCTTATTTTCCAAAGCGAGTTCTTTCTTTTCCGTTTCTGACAGTTCATTGTCAGATAATTCTGATCCTCGTACTCTTGGTTCCAGCCTAAATATCTGCAAGCATAGTACAAACCAGGGTTATTCTCTCACCTCATTTAGAAATAAACCTTTTCCCTAACACACACAGCACGAAAGTAATACTCCATTGTTCAGTTTGCAACCAAAAGTCTTTTTAAGATGGAGTAGCATGATTACTGATTAGATACATGATTGACTAAAATACACGATATGAAGAGATAAAGAAAGAGAACTCCAGACTGTATTCACGTATTGGCTGCACAATTATATGATATGAGGCCCAGAACGAGCCAAAGCCGACGTCTAGTTTACTACAATAATCTGAACTGAACCCAATTGCAGAGTTATAAAATACAAATGACAACATGATCAAGGTGCTCAAACTATTAGATTTCAACATCCCAAAATAAAAGGCTCAAGTCTGAACACTTCAACATACCAATACCTTTCTTTTTTTTGCACAGGTGTTGAGACTCGCGCTAACTACTCCCTCGAGCTCAGCCACTGTGGCATGAGCTGGGCTAGAATATGTTCCTGAGTAACAAGGATGACTAGTCCTTAAAAGGCTGAGACCTCTGAGTGGCTCAACCGCTGAAGCACCCCAAGGGTTACATAGCAATGCCTTTCTACCCTACAGCGCCCTTGTAAAAATTTCCACATCAAGTTCACACATTTAATAGTTTTTGTTCAAATTATGTGCTAGTTTTCCAAGATAATTAGTTCGCACCCGGCAATTCATAAGTGTATCATGAATAAAATACCAAACTGAAAACAATCAAATTTGCTATAAAACCACCTTATTGGCTGCAACGGGTATGATCTTCAGCGTCTGAGTCTCCTTATCCAAAACCCCAAGAGCATAAGTACAGACCTGAGGAGCCGTGGCTTCACCCAAATAACTAGTACCAACGAAATCCACGTGAGACCCATTTGGGCTCACCACCATCTGCAAGCGATTATTCCTTTTAACATGCCTATAAACCTTAACCCTGTGTTGTTGTGAATCTGATTCTTCGTCTTGGCCATGAACTGCACGGTCCTTGAGTGGGTCGAAACCGGAGGGAAAGTAACCGATTATGGGGGAAATCTTTTCTGGGTGTTCCCTCGTGGTCTCGATCTTTACATCTATCTGTGCTTTCTTCTTTTTACTGTTCTTTTTCTTCTTCTCTATGTACTCTTCGTCTTCTTCTTCAACTGGTGTTTGGGGCTGGGTGTCTTCTTTCTTCTTCTTCGCCATGGTTTGCGAGTGTGCAGTGTTTGGAGCAGTACAAGCTTGGAATATAAACCCTAAAATCCAACCAGCCTATTTACAAAACTCGGGCCGGCCCATGATACAGGCCCAATAACTCAAAGTTCGTATCAAAACAGTAATTTAATTTTTTTATAATTGTATTTGTTGAATTATTAATGGATCTTAAGATTAAATAAACTTTATTATTTATTTACTGCTCACTAATGTATTCCGCCTTCAAATTATATCGCAATAAAACATCAAAACAACCCTGGAATTATTTATTCTAATAACAAAACTAGTTTTTTCTTTATCCTTCAAAAAATTTGAAATAATTATTTTTAATATAAAAATTCTAATTACTGCATCATCATTTGTAATGACTTTTTATAAGCAAAACACAAAAAATAACTTGGAAGAGGGTGAATTAGGACTGATTGGTTATATATAACCTAACAAGTATAGCGGGGCGAGGATAAGATTTAGTCCATCTCCACCTCCATTTATATACAAGTTTATACGGGTATTATTGTATACGGTTATTATCTAATACATATAGTCTATTATTGGTCTAAACGAAACAGATTTAGATGAATTCTTATTTTTCTAAGTTATTGTCATACTTAACTCTCACCACCTTTTTAACCTACTACTTAAATTTAAAATTTTAATTATCTTTTTTAACTATTTCATAATTTTAAAAAATAATTGTTCAAATATATTATGGTTAAGAAGGGTTTGATGATAGGAAGAGATTACATACTATGTACTTAGCACGAGCTATTTACTAATAGTGTTATTTATTGTTTACACCCAAAAATTGCGAAATTTGAGAGTAATACATGAAAAAAGATCTAACGATTATAAGGGAGTGCGAGAGTCTACAACTAACAGAACAATTAAAAATATTAGGACTTTTAGAATCCCAAAAAAATAAAAAAAATGTAACATCACGAGTTACAAATGAAAACAATTTAGCTTACATTCATATATTTCAAGGGACCAGTACATGATTACATGTCATGGTCATAAAAGATAGATTAACAATTGAGAATCATCTCTATAAAATAGCAAAGGCTAAGCTATCAGAAAGGATCTCATGATTAAATCAAAAACACTTTTCATATAGTCAGGCTATATTTTGATTCAATACTTATTTCCGGGCGATCTTTACCCCGGCTATATTTTGATTCAACACTTATTTCTAAGCGATCTTTACTTTTTCTTGTATCACATCATTTCAATGAATTTTTATTGATTTTATTTAATACTAAGTTTGATGTTTAGTTTGTCTTTCAAAATTTAGTTTACTTGTTACTTTATATTTCTACAATTTATTTTCAGTTGTGTTCACACGTCTTTGATCGGAGAAATTATTTAAAATTTTTGAATTTTCAAAACATAGAAAAATATTTAGAGGTAATCTTACGTCACACTATAATTGTCTAAACAATCATAATTTTTAGAATCCAACGTCGATTCAAGTAGATAATGTCGTCCGTATTTAAATTTTAAGTTCACACGAATTTTGGCACGTCCATAATTCGAAAATACGCAAAGCACTTATGTAAAACACAACAAACAGTAGAGTATTTTAGATATTAATTTTTTTTGAATTTTCTAGATAATATTTTTTGATCTTTCAAATCGAAGATATTTTTAGGGACTTTTTAGTAATACTCTCCCCCCAGCGCCCACACACCACCGCCCGAAAGAAAATCTCTCTCTCGGCAAGACTCAAACTTTGGTGATTGGGCAAAAGGGTTTTTGTTTTCATTTACCTGTGCCTTCAATGGCACCAAAAGAATATACGCATAAAAAGGCATCTCTCCATGGCATGTAGACAGGAGATGACGCCTTTCTTTGGGTTTTCTTGTGGTTTATTGTTATCCAGTTCTGGATGGTAGTGAACTAGAGTTTTGATTTTGCGTGTGAAAGGAAAAAGAACTTCTAAACGCAAGCTGTAGTTTTTTTATATCTTTTACTTCTGTCACTGTTGCGGCGCGAACCCTCACTTCCTCTCTTCAAAGGTTTTTCCTTTTGGGTAAGAATGGAATATTAGGCTATCATTCAATATTTCTAGCTGTATGCTTAATACTCTTAAGCTGTTCTATTGTGATTGTTGTAATATTCGGGTCTCTTTTTTGATGGGTTTTTACTTTGATTTTTTTAAAAAATCTTATTGTCATAATCTGAGTTTAAGGTGGTGGGTTTTGCGGAACTTTCTGTTATGTTTTCAGTACAAAATTGGTTCCTGTGCTCGTTAATTTGTTTGTTTGGGGTTTGGTAAGCTGTTCAAGTCTTGAGATTGAAACCCTAGATCAAATGACAGCCCAAAATATCTATATTTTGCAGCATCCTTTTTTGTTATACCCTCTTTTTATTTTTTTTTTTACCTGTAAGTGACGGTGAATATGGCTTGTTTATGCTGAATTTTGATTGAACTACTTTTTTGTTTTTTTTTTGTTTTGGGATTGATTCTTAACAACATGCTGATTTCTGTCACGGGTCTTCACTCGCTTGTTCTGTTTGAGTTCCATAATTGGGTTCCCATATTCCATACCCATGATAACATAGGTTATATAGTAGGGTTGATTGGTTTGCTGATGTGAATAAAGAATCTGTTTTGGGTCTTCATTTCCATGTGGTATTGTGAATTCAGCTGCATTTTATGGGCTTCTGCAAAAGGTGGGTTCAAAACTTACCATATCCGAATACCTCAGGATTTCTTCTGAATCTAAAAGAGTGCTCTAAGGACGACAATGTGCTACTAATCAAAGAAATCAGCTACACAATACACAAGTAAGATTGTTGGTGGGCTTTGATTGATCTCTTTTCTTCTTATTGGTATAGCTGTGAAATTGAACCAATGGCAGTGTCTTAAGGCATTAAGTTGGCAGTAGTACTTACCCAGTTAGGACTATGAGTCTGTTTATGTGGTTTTGGATACAGGTTTAATGGAATTAGGATTTTTGAGTGGCTGAAACATTACAGTTAGTTAGAAAGTTAAATTTTTTTCGTTTTTGCTGTAGTACAATCCCCAACTTAGGACTATGAGTCTATTTATGTGGTTTGGGATACAGGTTTTACTGGAATTAGGATTTGTGAGTGGCTTAAATATTATAGTTAATGACAAAGCTAAAAGTTTTTTTTTTTTAATAGGTTTTCCATTATCTTGGTTCAATAAATTAGGATTTATGAGCGACTGAAATATTACAGTTAATGAGACAGTTAAAAGTTATTTTTCTATGTTTTCCATTATTAGTGTATACTTGTTCGCGGAAACAGCCTCTCTTCATGTGGGGTCATACTGCACACATTTGTCCATGACCCAGCAGTGGTGGGAATCTCATGTGGTCATGCATGGGTTGCTCTTTTTAGTGCATACTTGTGGTTCTGCATCATCATTAAACTGGTTTATGGCATTTTTTCCCTGATAAAGGGGGCTGTGTTCACAGAAGCAATCAATACGAATGGGTTGATGTAACTTGAATTTTGTAAGAATTAAAAATTGAATTTTGTGTGGACCAGCNTTTTTTGTTTTTTTTTGTTTTGGGATTGATTCTTAACAACATGCTGATTTCTGTCACGGGTCTTCACTCGCTTGTTCTGTTTGAGTTCCATAATTGGGTTCCCATATTCCATACCCATGATAACATAGGTTATATAGTAAGGTTGATTGGTTTGCTGATGTGAATAAAGAATCTGTTTTGGGTCTTCATTTCCATGTGGTATTGTGAATTCAGCTGCATTTTATGGGCTTCTGCAAAAGGTGGGTTCAAAACTTACCATATCCGAATAGCTCAGGATTTCTTCTGAATCTAAAAGAGTGCTCTAAGGACGACAATGTGCTACTAATCAAAGAAATCAGCTACACAATACACAAGTAAGATTGTTGGTGGGCTTTGATTGATCTCTTTTCTTCTTATTGGTATAGCTGTGAAATTGAACCAATGGCAGTGTCTTAAGGCATTAAGTTGGCAGTAGTACTTACCCAGTTAGGACTATGAGTCTGTTTATGTGGTTTTGGATACAGGTTTAATGGAATTAGGATTTTTGAGTGGCTGAAACATTACAGTTAGTTAGAAAGTTAAATTTTTTTCGTTTTTGCTGTAGTACAATCCCCAACTTAGGACTATGAGTCTATTTATGTGGTTTGGGATACAGGTTTTACTGGAATTAGGATTTGTGAGTGGCTTAAATATTATAGTTAATGACAAAGCTAAAAGTTTTTTTTTTTTTAATAGGTTTTCCATTATCTTGGTTCAATAAATTAGGATTTATGAACGACTGAAATATTACAGTTAATGAGACAGTTAAAAGTTATTTTTCTATGTTTTCCATTATTAGTGTATACTTGTTCGCGGAAACAGCCTCTCTTCATGTGGGGTCATACTGCACACATTTGTCCATGACCCAGCAGTGGTGGGAATCTCATGTGGTCATGCATGGGTTGCTCTTTTTAGTGCATACTTGTGGTTCTGCATCATCATTAAACTGGTTTATGGCATTTTTTCCCTGATAAAGGGGGCTGTGTTCACAGAAGCAATCAATACGAATGGGTTGATGTAACTTGAATTTTGTAAGAATTAAAAATTGAATTTTGTGTGGACCAGCATAGGGAAAGATTACATTTGTGTTTTTTAGGGTAAGAAGGGGGGGCCCGGGGGGGGTAAGAGTTGAAGTTATTGACTTTAATGTTGTTGGTAAAATTTTTGATTAATGTGAGAATGTGTGTTCCCTTTTGTTGTATAATTGGATATGTTTGGTGCTTTCAGTCTGACGGCTGTTTTATTTCGCTATCTTACTGAAGGTGCGAACTTAGATTTAGTGCTGTCAGTAACGTGGGGAGAATAATGTATGCTTACTATTCATCAGTATCTGGTAAGTGCTAGTATTGGCCCAGCAAGGAATACTCGAAATTGGCAACCCTGGCATCAGTGAAATGTCCCGATTCAAAATATAATGATATTCTACCAGGAGAACGTGGTTGCCTTGTTGTGGGTGGAGCTCTATGCGTCATATTCTTTGTGGTGTTTTAAGAGTAAAACTGATTACTTGATGCCTTTTTCTTTACAGATGGCTAAGTGACTTCATAACCTTGATGTATTTTCTTTCTTACTGTAGCATAGGCTTTCGTCGGGCTTGTATCCCTTCGTCTTAGAAATTTTAGAGTGGCTCTACAATTGTTTATCTGTAGTTATTTCTTTGAACAATTAGGTGTTATTTGAAGTAATAACTGCATGCTTTTTTGGTAGAGCTGAGTGTTTTTTATAAAATTTACTGGATCCTTATCTTATCATTCTTTGGTACATTGTTTGTTTACCAAAAATTTTCTCTTCTGATTAGAACTCTCTCTACCCCCTTCCACCCACTTCTCTCGCTCTCAGCCCCTGGAAATTGACTACTGCTCCTTAAGTAATGAGGTTAAGGATTGTCACTAGGGATGAAATGGTTAAAAAAGTGATTCTTTTTTATGTTGACAATGCCTTCCAATCAAATTTCATTGGAGTCAGTGAAGTGATTTGTAGTCTGCTATTTGAGATTCCTACAAACTCTGATGCTCTAATATGGGCTTTGTAGTTAGTATGAGAATGAACTGTGATTGATATTGTCTATATTAACTAGACTTGGAAATTCCTTCTTTCTTAAAATTTCTTCTTTCTTCTTCCTTATCAAGTGAGCTGCTTAAGTTAATGCATATTTCATGTAACAGGTGCTGTAAAGGAATATGGAGTATTGAAAACGTTATCATATCATCTCACTGAAATCATTGGTGTTTGGACGCATGGATCAGAGTAATCAACTTTGTCTTTATTTATGGTTTTGTTTTCTCTGTATTCAATATGGCTCTCATGGCTTGGTGTCCCAGCTAATTTCCCTAAAAATCTCGGAATCTCATGTTGAAGTTGCATCCTTTTGACTCTTTAATAGGCATGGTTCAAGGTTGCGGTATCGGCCCTTGACTCGGAGGCCACTGAGACACATCGGTCACGGCGTCGCGGCGCGGTATCGGTAGATACGCGCAAAACACTATATAAAAGGATCAAAAAAATTTGAAAAAAATAGAAAAATTGTAATTAATGTAAACATCATCATCAATGCATCATATTCCTAAAAAACATTATTTAACACATTAATCATTTCAAAAAAGAATAATAAAGATGCTACCGAAAAATATTTAGTATCATCTATATTCAAGGTTAATATAATTTAATTTGTANGCGCGGTATCGGTAGATACGCGCAAAACACTACATAAAAGGCTCAAAAAAATTTGAAAAAAATAGAAAAATTGTAATAAATGTAAACATCATCATCAATGCATCATATTCCTAAAAAACATTATTTAACACATTAATCATTTCAAAAAAGAATAATAAAGATGCTACCGAAAAATATTTAGTATCATCTATATTCAAGGTTAATATAATTTAATTTGTAATTTTTAAAAATTATAAAACAATATATAAGTGTATAATTCTTCATTTAATTATTTACAATGTATCTAATTAGATTGATTATATGTATATGTATTTTATGTATGATGATTATATGTATTTTCTCCATTATGTACATTTAATTATTAAATCATCAATACATATACAAAAACAAACTTAAGAAGTTAAGTTCTCATTAAATTATNAAAAAAAAAATATAAGTGTATAATTCTTCATTTAATTATTTACAATGTATCTAATTAGATCGATTATATGTATATGTATTTTATGTATGATGATTATATGTATTTTCTCCATTATGTACATTTAATTATTAAATCATCAATACATATACAAAAACAAACTTAAGAAGTTAAGTTCTCATTAAATTATATGATAAATATTAAAAGTTATATAATTAAAAAGTTTGGGCTAAAACCAAAAATAACAAAAAGAAGGGGGGAGGGAATTAAATTTTTGGGTCTCATAAGGCAAAGCCTCAACCCATCGACTCTAAGACAGTTGGACTTCGACCAACGCAAAGAGAGAGAGAGAGGGAAAGAGAGAGGAAGCACAGAGAAGATGGGTCTCTGCTACTCGAGACTCATCGTCGTTGGAGCTGGATCTCTTGCTACTCGAGTAGTCCGATCGTCGAGCAGCCTAGGGTTTCTGCAATTAATCCGCGATGTTGATCGTTGATCCACGGTTTCTGTACTTGGGTCCGTTACTACTGCAAAGAAGAAGGAAAGTAGGAACAATTAGTGTAAAAGGGCCTCTAATTGGGGAGATTTACCACAAATTTTCAGGTCTGTGATCTATTCATTCTTCTTTTGTTTTTATTAGGGTGAAAGAGGTCTGATTTAGGGTTCAATTCTTCTTATTTTTTGTCTTTTTTTTTTGGCATTTTCTTTGTTGTGCGTATTAGGTCGATTTGAAAGTGAATCGGCCGAGTTTGTCCGAGTTAGGCCTAGTTTGTCCGAGTTGGACCGAGTCAAATCCGAGTTTGTCCGAGTTGAACCGAGTTGGCTCGAGTCAGAACCGATTCATGGTAGACTCGTGATAATCGTTATCGTATCACTGCTTGTCGAGGCGGATACGACTCGGCCGAGTTGTATCCGACTTGGCCGATACTTTGAACCTTGTTAATAGGTGACATCTAGAGACATTTACAAGTCCATGCAAGAATTATGCCCGTAGTGCTTTAGTTAATGATTGTAACTAGGGTTGTGTGCACACTTAACTGTACTAGATAGTGGTGGAACAACACTCGTTTGTTTCTTGTTTTTTGGTTGGGGAAGGAGGGTAGGGTTGGGAAGGGGTGTTGTTGGAACAAGTTTCTCTCTCTCTCTGAGTGGAAGTTCTGGTGGTAGGCATGAATGTTATCAAATGCTGAATCAACGTTATTCAAATTGGGGGAAGGTCATGTGATTATGGTTATGAAGAACACTTCACTTGGATCTGTTTATTTGTGACCCGCAACAATATGCCTTTCTGNTGTTTCTTGTTTTTTGGTTGGGGAAGGAGGATAGGGTTGGGAAGGGGTGTTGTTGGAACAAGTTTCTCTCTCTCTTTGAGTGGAAGTTCTGGTGGTAGGCATGAATGTTATCAAATGCTGAATCAACGTTATTCAAATTGGGGGAAGGTCATGTGATTATGGTTATGAAGAACACTTCACTTGGATCTGTTTATTTGTGACCCGCAACAATATGCCTTTCTGGTAGTTTGTGGCGTGCATTTGGATATGGTTGTTTGGTTTTTGCTATTCAATGGCTTAAGTTGTGACCTTTTCATTGTAACAAGTGATAAGTTTTGGGAGTTCCGGAGATGTCCCATGCAAGGGCGAAATCAAGATTTTTGTTTATCCTGGCCTAAGCTAAGTATTCATACGATTAACAAAATACAAATNTCTGTTTATTTGTGACCCGCAACAATATGCCTTTCTGGTAGTTTGTGGCTTGCATTTGGATATGGTTGTTTGGTTTTTGCTATTCAATGGCTTAAGTTGCGACCTTTTCATTGTAACAAGTGATAAGTTTTGGGAGTTCCGGAGATGTCCCATGCAAGGGCGAAATCAAGATTTTTGTTTATCCTGGCCTAAGCTAAGTATTCATACGATTAACAAAATACAAATGTAAACTCATAAACATATATTTAATAATACAAATGTAAACTCATAAATACTTGCTAATGAAACTGAATTCTTCGATCCTTCCTAGAACAAAAGGCATCTATTATTGAATCTGTATCGATTGCTTCCGTTATTTCTTTTTCAATGTAGACAACTAACGAATCAGTCAAATACTCATCTTCCATCTTGTTACAAAGAGTACTTTTGACATATTTCATGGCTGAAAATGCTCTTTCTGAAGTTGTTGTAGAAACGGGAAGAGTTAAACTAAGACGAATCAACCTATCAATCAAATTGTAAGACTCTACCGTATTTGTTTCTACTAAACCACGATATAATTTTGAAATTGTAGACATACTTTAAAACCTCTCATTGCGAACCACATCAAATTGATAATGATACAGTTGACATTTCAAATGATGCATGTCTTGTCTATCAAAATCAGCTGCAGAAAACTTCTCAACAAGTAAACAAATGCGATCAGGATTGAAAGATTTAAAGTTGTCCCTAGGATCTAAAGCAGAGCTGAGCATAAACAATTCCATTGTCTTTTCATTGAATCTACTATGTAACTCTTCTAACTGATGATCAATCGTAGCATTAAATAAGTCCATGTGATAGTGATGATCAACTGTAATGTTATCATTTTGTTGACATGAACGTCTTGACCCTTTGTACTGAGTACTCATATCAGGTATACCGACATCAAATTTCATACAAACTGATTTCACATGGTGAAGGAGATAATCAAAACCTTCTGCTCTTAAGGTTTGAAGCAATGATTTTGTTGATGAGACTAAATTCATTGCATTCAAAATATTTAATGATTTATGCCGCAATGCCCAACAAAGCATATTCGTAATCCCTATAATCTTGTGCATAAGATGCAATATGAATATGAAATCGAAGGACTTCATTGCCATTAAAGAACCACCAGTTTTTTCACGAATTGTATTTGAAGATCCTTCATTAACCATACATTCAAACACACTAATGATAGCATCATACATATCTATCAGACCGCAAATGGATTCAAAATGTGAGCTCCAACGAGTAGTATCAACTCGATGCAAAGTACCCATCTAATTAGCCCCTTTACCAGTTTCTCGTTTACCATTAGCTATCTCCCTTTCAATCTCAGTAGCTTGGGCAGATCGCAGTTCTGTATGACGCTTAGGAGAAGCACTAATAAAATTAACAATGCATGTCAATTTGGAAAAGAATTGCCATATTGAAATCTTATTTTCAGCAGTTGCAACTAATGCAAGTTGTAAACTATGAACAAAGTAATGAACATAGTATGCATACTCATAATCATTACGGAACAAAGCTTGCAATCCATTAAATGCACCGTGCATGTTGCTAGCACCATCATAACCCTGACCTCATAAATCTCGAATGTGCAAATTGTGTCGAGTAAGAACTTTTGATATTTTTTTTTAAGAGTTAAAGAAGTGGTATCTTTAACATGCACAATCTCAAAAAATCTCTCCTGCAAAAAACCCTGAACATCAACNAGTACGGAACAAAGCTTGCAATCCATTAAATGCACCGTGCATGTTGCTAGCACTATCATAACCCTGACCTCATAAATCTCGAATGTGCAAATTGTGTCGAGTAAGAACTTTTGATATTTTTTTTTAAGAGTTAAAGAAGTGGTATCTTTAACATGCACAATCTCAAAAAATCTCTCCTGCAAAAAACCCTGAACATCAACAAATTTCAGAACAATTGCCATGTGTTCTTTATTTGATGCATCCTTTGCTTCATCAACCAAAATACAAAACTTGGTATTTCCAACTTCTTCACAGATTTTTTCTCTTACTTTAGTCGCTAGAATATGCAAAATATCTTTTTGGATCATAGGAGACGTATACTTTGCATTTCCTGGAGCTTTCTCTAAGACAACATCATTTATCTCAACATTCAACTTTGCCATCAAACTAATCATCTCAATTAGATTACCACGATTCTTTGACATTGCAGATACATCATGACCTCTCAAGGCACATCTCTGTAAAGTAAGTCATTGAATACTGTCAATGGTAGCCTTAAGACGCAATTGATTTCTCTTTATTTCTTCTGAACTTTGAACATTCATAACTTTATAAATGTGCACTGATATATTCTTCAACGCCTTAACATTTCTCACAGCATTATTGTGTGTGGAAGCAGGACCTCCCATATGTGACAAGAAAACACATTTGACCCTATTATTCACTCTCTTCCAGCTACTAAAACCATCAACAGTAAATGCAAGATGTAGAGGTTCACGACTTAGAAAAACAAAGCACGGAAAGCAAAATACCGCATCTTTTGAAATAGAATATTCTAGCCATGGAAATTTTTTGTACCAACTTTCTTGAAATCTTCGATTTTGTACTCCAGTTTTAGTCTTCGGATACTCAGCCAAGATAGGTTGATTTGGTCCCCACTTTATATAAGCATGTCTAACTTCATCTTGATTATAAGCAGGATGTTTCCATATCGGAATACACAATACGGGATCTCGTTCAAGTTCATTCTCATCAAAGAGAATCCTTGAAACTTTTGTTTGAGGTCGAGGACCTTGAGGTTCAACAGCCACAAGAATCATAGGAACATCAACACTTGTTGATGTTTCTACTAGATTCAAAGGTTTAAAACTAGAATTTGATGTTTCTTCTCCACTTTTTTTTTTTAAGAACGAAAAAATTATTTTTGCTCTTTTTCGTTCTTGATTTTCCNCGGCCACAGGAATCATAGGAACATCAACACTTGTTGATGTTTCTACTAGATTCAAAGGTTTAAAACTAGAATTTGATGTTTCTTCTCCACTTTTTTTTTTTAAGAACGAAAAAATTATTTTTGCTCTTTTTCGTTCTTGATTTTCCATCTTAATAAAGTAGAGATAGGGTTGAAAATTAGAGAAACAAACTAGAGAAACAAATATCACTTAGGAATATATCATACCCAAATTGCACATTTCACCTAACATATTCAAACATATAGATATTTCTAGGCCTCACACATAATTAATTTGCACCCAAAATAAATAAATAAATAAAGATAATGAACTAAATCACCTATAGCATAACTTCCTCAGTCAACACTCATAAAATTCATATGCATAAAGTTGTTAATGCTCCATTAATGTTTCAATGTAAGCTAGGACTTACAATAGAAATATAGAATCATATGAACTCATGATAATGCCTAAATTTTGTTGCTCGACCTTTACTTATTCACTTGTTTATAAACAAAATTTCAAAAAAACTAATGGTTAAAAGCAAAAATTGTAGGTTCCAAAGGTTCTATGCTTTGTTTTGGTAATTATATCCGAGTATGTGTGGAACTAAACAAACCTATATGCTTGGGTGATGATGGAAGAAAACAATCAAACTTAAACCAAGCGTGTATCAAGGTACCAATTACCAAACAAACCAAACTGATATAATGCCAAACTGGCCCAAACATAAATCTGCATACCTACGAAACTGAACTCGATAAAAACAATTACACAAAAGCATATGAATTTCCAACAATACCTGACCCTTCTCACTAACAACGAGCAAATCAACCGAATCAACCCCCGAATCGTTCTCTATTGCCACTGGTTTATCAAGATCACCGTTCAAAACCACACAATCATCGTCCTCATCTTTTGCTATAGACCCCGCAACAACACCCGAAGACTTCAATCTCTGCTTTGGGTTCAGCACCACCTCACCCACCACCATCTTTGTAGAGACTGGAGTCTAGAGAGAGAGATTTGACGGAAGGATTAGACCAAGAGCAGGAGCCGCCTGTGNTTTGTAGAGACTAGAGTCTAGAGAGAGAGATTTGACGGAAGGATTAGACCAAGAGCAGGAGCCGCCTGTGTGTTGCGCCGTTGCTTGTCCGCAGATTTGGGGAAAGGACTCACCTGAGAGAGGAGATTTGCAGGTGGGTTGGATGGGACTCAGACTGATTTTGGGGAAGTTTTGCAGGTGGGCTGGGTTGGATGGGATTTTTTTTTGGGGTGGGGGTGGGGGTGGGTTGGTACTTAGTGGTAAATTTTTATTTTTTTTTACTCTGGGCTTCAGCCCACCTAAGCCCACTTGTAGATCCGCTCTTGGTCCCATGGGAATCAATGAATCTTGTGTCCTTGATATTAGTTGATTTGTTTTCAGTGGCATCTGCAATAGAAGAATAGTTGGAATGAGGGTGGCAGGCTCCATGACTCAGAACTTCTTAACCTTGGTTAAACTATTCTGTGCTGTAGTTTCCTCTTAAGGCAGAAGAGAAGATACATTGAGAAGACCTCATACTTTACTAGTTTATTTTTGACATTTTTCAATCGTGGTTGGTCACACCAATTGCCTTTGCATACCGAATTCTCATTTGGTGTTTCCAAACCCTTTTCAGCCATCACTGATGACCCATTTATTTGACATCATGTGAATTCAAATAGAAGCACCACATAATTGATCTTGAGTTCGTGTCTTTACCCTCTAAAGCTTCACCAAGATACCTGTTGTCATTCGACCTTTTGTCAGATGCATGTTTCACTTTTTTGTCTCTTAAAAACTTTTAGACATTGAAGCCCCCTTCGGAGTCGAATAAGAATATTAAGTAATTTAAACTTGGTGGTCTTTAGAATGTCAAATATTCTATTGATCTGCGCAAGCCGCTAGAGTTTTTCGTTTTTACAGTCAGCCAAGTTCACTAGTTCAACTGATTTTGTTACTGTCCCTGATGCATTTTACAAGTTTCTTCCTATGTTAATTATTAAGGCATGGTGAACTTTGGGTGCAGCCCAGATTCCAAAGACTTATTCCATTACGACATACATGTTCCAAAATAAAGAACTGGTAATAGTGGAGTTATTATGATCCTTATGATCTATAGTTCTTACCTATTGTAATATCAATTCTATGGAAAAATTCTTGTGCATTCACTGATTAATTTCCCAGTATTGAGTGGCCTAGATTTTACAAGATACCATGATTGAGTACCATTTTTATCCTTCCATTTCTGCTAGGACCTTAAATAGATGATCATTGGGATATGGTTTGGATTTGATGTATTGGTTAAAGACATTTTGGTGAACACAGGGTTCTCATCAGGTGTCAAGGAGCAACAAAATGGAGATTATACCCTTATCACAGACGTGGAGGAAATCCAACTGGGAATGTTTGACAAACGCCTTCCTTGCTTTGGTTGTGGAATAGGATGGTTTTCGTGAGTTTCCCAACCCTGTATTCTTCTTTTTGGTATTATCTCTCTCTTATCAATCTGCCTGTCACAGTTTTCTGCTTGGATTTGTAATCCCATTGATGTGGTACTATGCCACAATTCTTTACTTTGGAAATTATTACCACAAGGATCCCAGAGAACGGGCAGGGCTGGCTGCCAATGCAATAGCTGTAAGTAATCCACACAAGTTTTCTATTATAATTTACATGGTTGTTGCTAGGTAAGAATTGAACGTATAACTCATCCTGACCCATTTTATTCATTCCACCCGCACCTGAGCCAAGGCTAAGATTAGTGCACTGTGATGTTATTTCATTTGCTTGTCACCAAACCTCGAAAAAAGAAAAAGGAAGAAAAAGAAAGGAACATATTTAGGTTTGTTTGCTCAAAACTGCCTCATTCTTTCTGAGGTGGAAGGANGTTATTTCATTTGCTTGTCACCAAACCTCGAAAAAAGAAAAAGGAAGAAAAAGAAAGGAAGAAAGAAAAGAACATATTTAGGTTTGTTTGCTCAAAACTGCCTCATTCTTTCTGAGGTGGAAGGATTGTCTGCTGTCCATTGTATCGCAGCAAGCCTTCTTTGTGTCAACTTTGACAGCCTTCATAACCTCCCCCAATCACTCACTATCCTGAAGGGGAAGCCAGCATAATGAGAATTTGTTTNGATTGTCTGCTGTCCATTGTATCGCAGCAAGCCTTCTTTGTGTCAACTTTGACAGCCTTCATAACCTCCCCCAATCACTCACTATCCTGAAGGGGAAGCCAGCATAATGAGAATTTGTTTCTGGGATTATCATTAGTTTTTCTTTACACTGAAGGGCATTAGTAGTTTACATACTTAAAAATCCAAGGCACATTTCTGAATTTTTGAAGCTATCAACCTCAGATTTTTCCCATGTTCTGGCAGAACCCCAAACTAGTTCAAACTATACCATTATTTGGCATTCTATCATCGTCACATTAGTAACTGAGGCTTAGCACACAGAATACTCTGTTTGTTCATCTAGCCTACGTCTTATTAATCCCAAATGTGATGATGATTGCAGGCTTTGATATTTACAGTAGCAGTTCTGATCACTGTAGCAGTTATTCTGTTGTAGTCCTTCGTGCTACAACTCTGCTTCAAAGAAAACTTTGACTGCTGTTTAGACGAACCCACATCCTTGTAATCATATCGGGGTACTACTAGGGAAGAACATGGTGTTACATAAAGTTTGTATATCGGAAAAGATGCAAAGTATCGAATTCCTTTTTATTGCTGTGCATAATACAAAATGTATATTGTAGAACTCCTACTATTTGACTCCAATTCATGGGGAGGCTTATGTATCGTTGACTCATACTAAAGTGTAAAGTAACAAAATCCTGGTAAATTTTAGGGCTTGTTTGATTTGATTGAATTTTGAAAATAGTTTTTTGATCTCAATTTTTTAAAAAGTAAGGGAAANAAGTGTAAAGTAACAAAATCCTGGTAAATTTTAGGGCTTGTTTGATTTGATTGAATTTTGAAAATAGTTTTTTGATCTCAATTTTTTAAAAAGTAAGGGAAATTTGTTTGGTTTGGATTTTTGTTCTCCAATGTTTGGGAAAAGATAGATGTAAAAAACAAAAAATGAAAAACAAGTTAGGCTTGTTTTTTGTGTTTTGCAGACAAAAGAAGGGAAACACGAGAACGTCAAAATTTTTCATTAATGAGGTTTCCTCTTCAACCTTCTTAGCAACAAAACATATTCAACTATAAGAAAGTTTTTTTTATTACTTTTTTTTTTGTTTTTTTGTTTTTTCTGACTCTCTCTCTCTCCGCACTTTGGTGAAAATCAGATGAAAGGAAACACAAACATCTGGGTTCAGATCGTAGTTTGCTCCAGCGTCGGCTCCAACATCAATTCCAGTGTCATCTCCTCTCTCTGCAACAGATTTGTATAAATTTGCATATATACACAAATCTGTTTGTGGATGGATGTGTGTGCAATGGGTGTGTGTGTGTTTGTTTGTTGTATGTGTGCGTATGTTTGTGTTGTGTGAGAAGATAATGGGGATAGAGAGAAAGAAAGCTGCTAATATAGATAGGAGAAAGAGAGCTGTTGTGTGAGAAGATAATGGAGATAGTAGAGAGAGAGGGAGAGAAGGCTCCAGAATACATGATGCCTGACTGGAGAGAAAGGATTTGTGGTGATAATTTTTTGTTTGGGTCAAAAGTGATAAGTTAAAAATTGATTTTGTGGATCATTAGCCAAAAATATTTTAAAACTATTTTTAAAATTATATAACCAAACAGGTTTTGTAATATAAAAATATATCAAAAAACAATTTTTGAAAACTCTTTTTAAAAATTATTTTCAATTTGAGATACAAATCAAAGGCTTTATGTTTAAACAACTTTGAGGGAGATTTGTATGTCATGTAGGAAGCTAACGGCTTGCTGAATTTTCATAAGGTGATTGATTGTAAGTAGCAGTTGTTAGAATTTTGTGGGTAATTGGTACTGTATGTAGAGGGTAATTGATATGCTTTCAGGTGTTTTTTTTCATGCCTCCACCAATTAGAAACAAAATAAAAAGAAACAAGTTTATGTTGAAAGTCGTCAGGAACTAACCTGAGGGTGCTAATACAGTGTGGATGTTTTGTTGGTTTTTCATTTTTCTAATAAACAAGTATAGGTATTAGCTAGCTTATAAAAAAAGTTATAGATATATTTAAGTAAGGATTAATTACGCTAGAGGTCCTCAAAGTATGAGATTTATCTCATTTCAGTCTCTAATATTTCAATTGCATCATTTTGGTCTCTAAAATATTGAATATGTTTCTATATGATCCTTCAAGCAGACAACGTCTATATTGCTAACGATTTTTTATCATAAACTTGTTACGTAATAGCTAAATATAGAGAAAAAATAATTTTGATAGCTTTTAAACAATATCTGAGTAGCTCTTGACAAAAATTTGGATAGCTCGTTATCAAAATCGTGTAATTTAGATATGTATTTAATCAAAATTTGTATATAAATTTGGTAAAGAGTTATTCAAATTATTTTTTTGTCTACATTTAAGTATCATATGACAAATTTATGATAAAAAATTATTAACAATCTGGACATTGTCTGTTTGAGAGACCATATAGAAACTTATTTAATACTTCAGGGACCNACATTGTCTGCTTGAGAGACCATATAGAAACTTATTTAATACTTCAGGGACCAAAATGATACAATGAAAACATTGGGAACTAAAATAAGACAAATTTCATACTTTGGGGACCTCCCGTGCAGTTAACCTTTTAAGTATTTTAGTATAAACAAATAAAATACTAGATTAAATATGAAATAAAAATATTGAGCATTGTAATCTAGTGTTTGATAATATACTGGATTAAGAGTTGGATAATAAAGTATTAATTATATATTGATCAAAAAAATCATCAATTTTGTTTAGTTATTAATATTTTTGTTTATTTGGTAGGTAAAATAGTAAATTTATAACGTAAAACCCTTAAATTGGACTATATGTGGTATTATAATCGGCTCAATAGTATGAATAAAAAGTATTATTTAGATAATTATTTGAAATAAAATTATATATAATACGAAGTGTTTTTTACAACCAAATGTATTATAAAGTTGAATTATAGAGTTTTAATTTGNGTGGGTAATTGGTACTGTATGTAGAGGGTAATTGATATGCTTTCAGGTGTTTTTTTCATGCCTCCACCAATTAGAAACAAAATAAATAGAAACAAGTTTATGTTGAAAGTCGTCAGTCAGGAACTAACCTGAGGGTGCTAATACAGTGTGGATGTTTTGTTGGTTTTTCATTTTTCTAATAAACAAGTATAGGACATTCGGGCACAGGTATTAGCTAGCTTATAAAAAAAGTTATAGATATATTTAAGTAAGGATTAATTACGCNAGGACATTCGGGCACAGGTATTAGCTAGCTTATAAAAAAAGTTATAGATATATTTAAGTAAGGATTAATTACGCTAGAGGTCCTCAAAGTATGAGATTTATCTCATTTCAGTCTCTAATATTTCAATTGCATCATTTTGGTCTCTAAAATATTGAATATGTTTCTATATGGTCCTTCAAGCAGACAACGTCTATATTGCTAACGATTTTTTATCATAAACTTGTCACGTAATAGCTAAATATGAAGAAAAAATAATTTTGATAGCTTTTAAACAAAATCTGAGTAGCTCTTGACAAAAATTTGGATAGCTCATTATCAAAATCGTGTAATTTAGGTATGTATTTAATCAAAATTTGTATATAAATTTGGTCAAGAGTTATTCAAATTATTTTTTTGTCTATATTTAAGTATCATATGACAAATTTATAATAAAAAATTATTAACAATCTGAACATTGTCTGCTTGAGAGACCATATAGAAACTTATTTAATACTTCAGGGACCAAAATGATACAATGAAAACATTGGGAACTAAAATAAGACAAATTTCATACTTTGGGGACCTCCCGTGCAGTTAACCTTTTAAGTATTTTAGTATAAACAAATAAAATACAAGATTAAATATGAAATAAAAATATTGAGCATTGTAATCTAGTGTTTGATAATATACTGGATTAAGAGTTGGATAATAAAGTATTAATTATATATTGATCAAAAAAATCATCAATTTTGTTTAGTTATTAATATTTTTGTTTATTTGGTAGGTAAAATAGTAAATTTATAACGTAAAACCCTTAAATTTGACAATACGTGGTATTATAATCGGCTCAATAGTATGAATAAAAAGTATTATTTAGATAATTATTTGAAATAAAATTATATATAATACAAAGTGTTTTTTACAACCAAATGTATTATAAAGTTGAATTATAGAGTTTTAATTTGTTATAATTCTGTAATCTATTGTTTAATACTGTAATCAAACAATCCCTTAGAGGTTAAAAAGGGTACTATTTTGATTAAGCACGATTGGTAGTACTCTTTATTAAATAATTACACTATGTGACATTATTGACCGGCACGGCACGATATAATTGTTATACTAATTTTAATGCAGTTGATTAAAAAAAATGGTGCTAACTTGGAACAAAGTTTATAGTTTGGGGTTTCAAAGCTTTTGAATTGAGTGGAACAAAAGCAAGCAATAGTCCCACACTACTCATTTCTACTACATAAAAACCTGTCTATTTCTATTGCTTGCATTATCACAACTATAATCACGCGTTTTTCTTTGCTGTTAAAAGTTGGACCTACTTCCTATTTGCTTGCTTGCATTGATCATTTTTTAAGTTTATATATAATTGAGATTAAATTATTTATTATTTACGGCTCAAATGTAAAACTACTATCTTACAAAAAATTAATTAAAAAGTGACATCATTCCAATGGGTCGACATGANTATATAATTGAGATTAAATTATTTATTATTTACGGCTCAAATGTAAAACTACTATCTTACAAAAAATTAATTAAAAAGTGACATCATTCCAATGGGTCGACATGAACATATAAATGATATAAACATGATATGAATTTGACTACTAGAAAAAAAAAAAAAAAGGAGGAATCGGTATGAAGTTTTGTTATTAAAAAGGCTAAAGTATGTTGGGATAGGTAGTTTTTACGATTCAAACCATTGACACCTAGAATGCAAATGAATAGTTTCGTTGTTGGGTAAAGACCCNNNNAAAAAAAAAAAAAAAAAAAAAAGGAGGAATCAGTATGAAGTTTTGTTATTAAAAAGGCTAAAGTATGTTGGTGGTAGGTAGTTTTTACGATTCAAACCATTGACACCTAGAATGCAAATGAATAGTTTCGTTGTTGGGCAAAGACCCAGTCTTTACCAACTTGGATATAAACAAATTGNTTTTTACGATTCAAACCATTGACACCTAGAATGCAAATGAATAGTTTCGTTGTTGGGTAAAGACCCGGTCTTTACCAACTTGGCTATAAACAAATGTNGTAGGTAGTTTTTACGATTCAAACCATTGACACCTAGAATGCAAATGAATAGTTTCGTTGTTGGGCAAAGACCCAGTCTTTACCAACTTGGATATAAACAAATTGAAAATAATTGAATAATAAAATTTGCAATAAGATCGTTTTTAATTATATTTATGATTTTATCTATGGAAAAGAAATTCCCTCCCCAAGTAGAGACTAAATAAGAAAACTTCAACTAATGTGACATGTGATGATAACATGCAATGCAAGATAGATTTTAGGTAAATGAGATGATAATGACCTCACATTATGATTAAATTATTGCCATCACCATTCCATTATGATTAATATCTTAATTTTAACATAAGTAATAACTGTAAAACAAAATTTCTTTTTTTTTTTAAAGTGTTGCGATTAGAACATCTTTAACCCTAATTTAAAATTAAATTTAAATAAAAAAATTTGCTCTATCCCTTAAACTTAAACTCATAACAAATCGATGGAGACTCAATTTTTTACTCAAATTAAGGGAGATTCAAATCTTTAATAATAAAATTTTAAACTCTTTTAAAGATTCAATGATCATCTTTATTCTTTTTTAAATTTAAATTTGAATTTCTCCTTTTTTAAATATGAATTTGTCTATTAGAGCCTTTTGTATCAAATAAAACTTTTTCCTCAAATTTAAAGAAAATTTTGAATCATAGTTGAAGATGCTCTTAGTTTCNAAATGAGATGATAATGACCTCACATTATGATTAAATTATTGCCATCACCATTCCATTTTGATTAATATCTTAATTTTAACATAAGTAATAACTGTAAAACAAAATTTCTTTTTTTTTTAAAGTGTTGCGATTAGAACATCTTTAACCCTAATTAAAAATTAAATTTAAATAAAAAAATTTGCTCTATCCCTTAACTTAAACTCATAACAAATCAATGGAGACTCAATTTTTTACTAAAATTAAGGGAGATTCAAATCCTTATTCAAATCTTTAATGATGAAATTTTAAACTCTTTTAAAGATTCAATGATCATCTTTATTCTTTTTTAAATTTAAATTTGGATTTCTCCTTTTTTAAATTTAAATTTGTCTATTAGAGCCTTTTGTATCAAATGAAACTTTTTCCTCAAATTTGAAGAAAATTTTGAATCATAGTTGAAGATGCTCTTAGTTTCTGTTACTTATTTCGTCAACTTCAATATAATAGATTTTGATGGAACAGATAACAAAAGTTAACCAAAAGTCACGTTACAATAATTTTAATAAATTGTGTGTTTAATGTAAAAAAAAATTATCTTTAAAATTATAAGGTGAAAAAACTTTATTCTTTTGGGGGCGTAAAATGAAATTCCTCCAAATGCAAAATCCACAAAAGCAAAAGCAAAGGAACCCAAACACAACAACTAAAAGCAGAAGGCAAAAACAGCTCAAAAAAAGCTTACATCTCTCTTTCTCTTTCTGCCCTTTTTCCATCCATCTTTATCTCTCTCAAAAGCTAGACAAAACTTACCTCAAATTATGGAAGAAGAAGGGGAAGATTCGTCACCATTTTGGCTAGAAAGCACCACCAATCTCCGCCGTGTTGACCGCTATCGCCGCCGTGTATCATCTCTCTTCTTCAACTTTGGAGTCTTGGTCATACTTCTGCTGATAACCGCAGTTTTCTTACTTGTTTTCATAATACCTTCTCTTCTATCTCTTACTACCCACATCTTCAGACCAAATACAGTGAGAAAAAGCTGGGAATCGGTTAATATAGTGCTGGTTTTATTTGCGATTGCTTTCGGATTTCTGAGTAGAAACAAGAATGATGACACGAATCTTCATGAATATCATCGAGGTGATTCTAACATCACAAGCTCAGACCAAAAATCCAGCCCATCAACCCCACATCAATGGTATGATCTTCCAGATCGGCCGGTGTACAATAATTCCAGCAATGGGATAGGTGGTTTGAGAAGGAATAGCAGCTCATACCCTGATCTACGTGAGGTTTCATCGCCGTGGGTCAGCTATGATGATCTGCGGCGATTTTCCGACGATACCCAAGTGGAAGCTTATCGTATCTTTGACTCTGATCAGCTTCATCGTCAATGGAGCTGGAAAGAGCTCGACAGACCACATTCTAATTCCAAGAAAATGGATGTTGATAAGGAAGTTTCATTTACTCAGCCACCAACCCCGTCGCCTCCTCCGCCACAGCCACCGACTCCGCCGCCAGCAGTCAAACATATGGCCAAGAGAACATATCAAAGTGTTGCACAAAAAGAGAGATCGAACAAAAAATCAGACAATGACTCAGAACGCAATGAACCCAAAACACCGCCACAGACTCCACTACCTCCGCCACCGCCACCGCCACCATCGGTGGAACAAACCGAGCAAAAGAGAAGCAGAAGTGGCCGGAAAAGAACTGGGGCAAATGCTACCAAAGATTTCTTGACCTCACTCTATCACAAGAAGAAGAAAAAGCAGAGACAAAGCAGTGTCGAAAACTTCGATACTCTCCTTCATCAGTCTCAAACTCCACCTCTTCATTTCCAATTACCACCACCATCACCACCACCACCACCACCACCTCCTCCTCCTCCACCGCCACCTTCAGTCTTCCACAATCTCTTCTCATCCAAAAAAGAGAATAGACGAAGAACTCTTTTAGCTCCGCCGCCACCACTCATTGAAGCGCGTGCATCAAAACCCATAACCCAGATTGCACCAGTCACCACCCACGAACCTCCATTACCGGCAAAGATCAACAATTTCTACATCACCGAAGAAAATTCAAACAGCGGCGGAGAATCACCACTGATTCGAATACCGCCACCTCCACCACTACCCCCGTTCAAAATACCAGCCTGGAAGTTTGTGGTGCAAGGTGACTATGTCAGGGTACGAAGCTTCAATAGCTCTCGCAGTGGCTCTCCAGATCCGGATGATCCCGGTTCACCGAGTAGCATATCAAGTGAATCACATGGCACAACACCTACATTGGACGCTGCTGCTGCTGCGACGGCGGAGGCGGTGTTTTGTCCGAGCCCAGACGTGAACATGAAAGCTGACAACTTCATTGCAAAGTTCAAGGCTGGGTTGAAGCTTGAGAAGATGGATTCAATCAACCAAAGACTTGGGGTGGGCTTGTCTAATCTAGGCCCACGAACTGGCCCAAGTCATGTTTGAACCTTTAGTATATATTTTTTTTTTTGGATATTGACATTTTAATATTTTTCGTGTATTTTGCGAATATTGTGCTGATTTTGGAGTTGTAAGTTTATTCAGATGTAAGAATATACAGAGAGTTGGAAAAAAAAAATTTCTCTATTTCCCATAGATAATTCACCATGTCACGGAAGAAAATCCAATTTAGAGAAGAAAAATATATAAAAACAATCTAAGTCGAGATAGTAATGAATTTATAGTTTTCATGGTGTTTTTGGGGTTATTTGCGACAGTCCGTAAACAGTGTTCAAGGAAAGAATATGTTGAGATATTTGTATGCAATAATGTAGATACCCTTGAGAGAGAGAGAGAGAGAGAGAGAGAGAGAGAGAGCCAACATCACAGACACTACCTAACACCTAAAGGTCTAAGTTTTCGTGGAGGAACAATGGGTGAATGAAATTAGGACAGGTTTGTGACCAAAAGGGGTAACACCAGTTGTATAGCCCATGCCATTGGTAAGAAATGGAGGCAAAGACTTGCCTAAAACAGTGAGATATAGAAAAGATTGCATGTTAACCTTGATATTATGAAGGATCAAATCAGTTGTAGTCACACTATTTTAAGTCTTGTATATCTTGTCTATTGCTTAAATATTAATATTTACAACAACAGTAATATCATGACATAACTAACATTTGATATCGTGACCCATTAACAAATACGATGCTAAAAGAGCAACGACATCGGAATATCCCACCTAACACTTGCTATGACATGGGAATTATATGGTACCATGATTTCATGACAAGAATCCTTACATATTGCCAATTTGTTAAGGGTGTTACGCAAATGTGTGCTAGCCTTGTTTCGCAGGCAGAGCCATCATCCCCTGCTAGTTAATTCCTTGACTAGCTCTTTAAGAGACTCCTCTTGCTTGATATGTTCAATTCACCTCGCTTTGATTCTGACTTGCTCAATGCTTTGTTTCAAATTCATAGCAATTGCAGGACTCGCTCGGCTTGTGAAAAAAGCTCCCACTTCGTCGGCCATTTCATGGCTGCAAAACTAAAAAGAAGACAGATCTTAAGGGGTGAGATNATGCTTTGTTTCAAATTCATAGCAATTGCAGGACTCGCTCGGCTTGTGAAAAAAGCTTCCACTTCGTCGGCCATTTCATGGCTGCAAAACTAAAAAGAAGACAGATCTTAAGGGGTGAGATAGGTTCTAATATCGTTGCAAGCTTGATGTTTAGGTCATAAATTGGGCGTACAATTCTCTACAATTGTTTTCCTATGCTCTTATGTTTGCTACCACTGTACATTGTGGACAGTTTGACACAATGAAAAGTGGAAAAAAATATGTTACGACATAAACCCACAATTTGCATCACCACATCCAAGTGCAAGTGCAGATCTTTCATCCTATTTTGTACCTCCCATAATGCGGCATACTATCATTGGCAGTCCGAAAAATTGGTGACATTTTTTGTGTTCCATGTTGACAGACACTAGACATACATATGACTAGCAAAGTGGACCAACCAAGGTATGGAGAAAATTTAGTGCAACCTAAAAAACAACTCAAAAAAGTCTAATAGCCAGATTCTTCATGTGATGCATGACAACTTGCAATTATGCAAATGACTTGGACGTGATTTGAACTATGGTCTAAGTATTAATATCTTATTACTCGCAACGCTGCCAAATCTCGAAGATTGACTTGATTATGGTTACAAGGCTGATTTTAATGCCAATCATGGGGTTGTGTGAAAGGAACAGTTAAGCAGTGGAGATACTTACTGGATTATTGAACCCTCATTGATGATATCTTCATTTTCTATTCAAATGTTATATTCTTATTCTCGTTTAGATTTAGACATGCTCTTATAATCCACAAACACCAATGTTAAATTGCATCTGCATCTACTTAACAGGTTCTTTTCCAAACAATGTCGCGAACTCTATCTCAGAATGAATTGAAATAATGGCATTATGTGTACTAAATTTATGAAAAGTAGTTTTCAACTACTTACTGGTGTGACAATGTCTCTAACAAAATGGGCGAGCAGCATCCCTGCGCCCCATTTTTGTAGGATCAGATCCCAGTTCTCCTGCATTCATTACCAAGCATCTATGATTTCATATAAAATGGAACTCAGAAAATAAGCTCACGCAACCAGAACACACCGCAACTGGGAAAATGATTCTATTTTCTACCATAAAAATTGCAAAATGAAGGAGGATATGTATTGTTCCAACCTGCTTGAGCTTGTAAAGTTCCAATTATTTAAAATCATGCACTGGATATAGGTGGTATTTTTCGTTTGTGAAAATCTCCGTAAATTCTTGCAGATTCAAGAATTTATGGAGATTCTTCCTCCGAAACCAAAAACTAAGAGAAAGAGAAAAGCTTCTTCCCTGCTCTAATAGAAATTACAAATTTCCTGAATCCCTAAGTCACCTATAGGCTATATCCAAAATTGCATATTTAGAATTAAATTCACTATTGATCTTAAAACTTGTATCCCAGTAACTGTGTACCTTTAGCCATAACCATGCGGTTTCACGGCCTTCCAAGCTTATCCCAAAAAGCACATATATAAAATCTTGATCACGAACCTGTGAAGGAACGCATATGAACTCAATAACTAGAAGAGTGCAAAGGAATTATAGCTGTCAGAGACCATAATTTACTCAGCAAAGTGTAATACCTCATCAGACAACAGGAAATTCAGAACCTCCAAAACTATATCTGGGTCTGGACCAAATGCCATGCAACCTATAGAAGATCAAAATAAATGACATGGTACCCACGCTAACAAAATAGGAAAAATCAGAAAAGGTGAAATTTAAAAGCTTACGCAGAATCCTGGTCTTCTCTTGCACTGCATCAGCTTCTCTATATACCTTTAGTAGGGATTCAAACCCACTTCTATTGATAGAACTGGTATTACTCATCACAGTAATGTAAGCAGCCTGTGGCATTTTTTGAACTTCTGCAAATTAAGAAGAAAGACCCACATAAACGAGAACAATGATTGGACATAAAGGTTTCGTCTTACCTTTCTACTGTCAACTGGAAGAAGTGAAGTACTGCTATCATCCAAGTATGCTTGAAACCGCTTCATTGCTTCTTGATGAGTCTCATTGTGGCCAAAAGTAGCCAAAGCCATCAATATTTCTTCCCTCAACAATGCACTTAGCGGACTCTCTCCAGATATGGGTTCCCAACCTAATTGCCTCCATACAATATGAACAAATATGACTTTCTTTCAAGTGTGAAAACGAGAAACTTAGATCTCAGTTTCTAATATTTTGAAGAATTTATCAATTATTGAAATTATAATCTGAATGACCTTGCCACAGAGCATAAAAGTCTAGTTACAGATGAGAATTCAGCTTTCCCGAGAAAATAGATCTTCGACTATCTCCAGGGTTGTAAGGGACTGATGAAACTTAGATCTCAGTTTCAAGGCAAGCACTCTTAACATGGGACCATATCACTAAATTTCACTCAGAATTAACCAAGTACATGCCAAGATATTTGAACACAGTCCAACATACCAAATAAATTGTAAGTTGGAATGAAAAAGGCTGTTGGCACTTAGCTCATGTATAGTAGACAATCTTACTTTGCATAGACTAGCAAAAGATTGATGAAAAATTGCTTCAAGTCATTCACCCAATCAGGGATAGCATCGCATGAGATCATTGCAAGATTATGACATATCTGTCACACCAAATAACAACTGGGTCATATTTCCATGAGTGAATTACATAAGTCAGTTAATTATGTAAATCATAAACAAAATGCTATTGAAATTTATGCATCAATAAGCCTTGATAGCACGATATAATCAAGCTCCTTTCTGTAAACATCCATCAGGGAAAGCAAAGATGATAATGGCACTTCGCAGGCCTCACAAAGAGCATATGCATCATCCAAAATGCCTGACAAGATTTTTAGAGAATAAGCAAAGAAAGAAAACTCAAAGCAAAACAAGCATATAGCTAGATAGTCAATATAGTGACAACTTCCACAGGTAAAGCCAATACCTCCCATTACAAAGATTCCCTGATTAACTGGAAACTTGGACTCGAAAAAATTGCTATTGTAAAAGAAGGATCCTGGTCACCTTATAGTAGCCAATCACAGCGGATTGCTGCCTAGCTGCTACCCATCGGGTGGAACAGGAACCAGGAACCAAGACTAAATATGAAATATACTGAACATCACATTATATCAGTTTTTACTATCGAAAGACTACTAGAAAATGGTCCAAACCAAATTTGTCTTCTGCTGACAAGTAACTCTCATCTATAGATTTCCTCAGTTGAGCTGTCAGATCATCATCGTACTTCACCAAACCGGTCTGCCCAATATTTATTTTGACCCATAAATTTCCAGGCAGTTTCTCTTGATTTTTATTCTCATAAGGGCTTGAGTTGCCATCAGAATAAAGATATAATTCTGATATACCCAATTTTCCAGCTTTTGTTTCTAGGAGGAACTTTTTGCACTTATTGTACGAACCAAGTGACAAGGTTAGTGGAACAGTCCATTGACCCTCACCATGCAAACCAGATGATAGAAATTGTGACTGCAAATTCCAAAGCAATGTTAGGTTTTATTACTGCAAATAATTATTTGTGTAAAGAAGAACAAATTTGTAACTCCTATAACAATCATTTTTCTACTATTGATCGGGAATACAAACCTGTTCAAATTCCAAAAAACCATCTCTGGATTTCACAGAGATAAGAGGATAGCCCTTTTGCTTTGTCCATATGTCCATCATTTTGTTCACTTTGACACCAGATATTTCTGAAATAACATTCCATAAATCTTCCGTCTTTGCATTTTTGCAAGCATAGCTTTTCATGTATGAAGCTAAAGATTTCTGATTTCAGCAAAGAAGTCACGTAATTAGATGGAGAAAACAACTATAGTTCTCTACCCATCTACAAAAACTAAAGAGTGTGCATGAGTGATTGTGGATGACCCGGAAACAAGCAGCATACTGCTAGATTCACCTTCAGTCCTTCAATTTGGCTCATGTACATGGAATTTGGCTGGTGTAGCATAAAATGATCACACTCATTTAACCAAGGTACATGACCGCACTTTTTGCTTATGTGACCACAAATATGAAAATTGCTCACTCTTTGTTACCTCTTGATCTTCAATTAGTAACCTCTCCATTTGGATCTCTACTTTTACTAAAGTTATATTCCACAAATCAAATTAAGTTCTAGGTTAAGTACAAAGGACGGATTCTAGAACTTCTCTATTAATTGCATTCTCTAAAACTTCATAATTTGGACTTTCTTACCTGGAATATTTCATCGCCAAGATAATCACGAAACATTCGAATCACAGCAGATCCTTTTTTATAACTTATGACATCAAAGACTTCGAGAACTGAACACCCATGGTGTACCTCCACCTGCAAATAGATGCTGCTTATCATGTAAAACTGGATTACATCAACCAAGAGGTCATGCATTTGCTTTCAAATGGCAGTAATTTTCACCTCAATCGGGTGTGATTGTTCCAATGCATCTATACGTAGGCCATCAGCAGTCACTTGAAGAAATTGAGACCAAATTTTCCACTCAGGAAATAAGATGTCAGTGACTAAATAACTTACCTATAAACATCAAATTGCAGGATATAGAATAAAAACAAAATTATATCCATCGGAAGGCTCATAAGCAGAGGACACGTAGTGGAAATTCAAAGACTTACCCATGTTGCAAAACCTTCATTGAGCCATAAATGAGTCCACCACTCCATTGTCACCAAGTTGCCAAACCATTGATGGGCAACTTCATGTGTCACAACAATTACAAGCTGGCAAAATGAAAATGGTCAATAGAGGTGTATTGCAATGTTCCAAAGTCCACAAACAGTGAAATAATTACTGCTCTAGGCACAAGTATAGACATATGAGAACAAAAACAAAAAGTAAAATGTCAGAAGTCATGTGAACTTTTTTTTGGGGTGGCACAGAAAATTGTTAATCCAAACCCTTTGGGCATCGCAGAATTGTGAAAAAGGGAAAAGAATTGAAGTGTATCCAGGTTCATCATCTACCCTCTGTGTGTTAGCTACGGTGGAATGCAAATCATCTCGAAGCAGCTCCATTTCACGATAGGTAATTAAATCATAATTCTCCATGGCCCCGCCAGAAAATTCAGGAACAGCAACCATATCCAACTTAGGAAGTGTGTAAGACATTGAGAAGTACCTACAGAATTCCACTATCAGCACAAACATTATAGTCAGAGAGTAAACAAAGCTTTTTTTCCTTTCTCATCTTTTGAACCTTTTAACATACAACATACACAAAGGGGAATAATTTATGATTTATGTGGGTCAGGTTTTATGTTGAGGACTCAGGGTCTAAAGCACACCCAATATATTTGACCCTCATAGTCACACGGTGAAAAGCACCCCGCCCCTTGTAGAATAATATCAATCACCCAACTTCGCAACGTCCATAGCTCGTTCTTGTTTATTGTTGATCCTCTCTTGGTTTTGAACTACATCNTTTCATGTATGAAGCTAAAGATTTCTGATTTCAGCAAAGAAGTCACGTAATTAGATGGAGAAAACAACTATAGTTCTCTACCCATCTACAAAAACTAAAGAGTGTGCATGAGTGATTGTGGATGACCCGGAAACAAGCAGCATACTGCTAGATTCACCTTCAGTCCTTCAATTTGGCTCATGTACATGGAATTTGGCTGGTGTAGCATAAAATGATCACACTCATTTAACCAAGGTACATGACCGCACTTTTTGCTTATGTGACCACAAATATGAAAATTGCTCACTCTTTGTTACCTCTTGATCTTCAATTAGTAACCTCTCCATTTGGATCTCTACTTTTACTAAAGTTATATTCCACAAATCAAATTAAGTTCTAGGTTAAGTACAAAGGACGGATTCTAGAACTTCTCTATTAATTGCATTCTCTAAAACTTCATAATTTGGACTTTCTTACCTGGAATATTTCATCGCCAAGATAATCACGAAACATTCGAATCACAGCAGATCCTTTTTTATAACTTATGACATCAAAGACTTCGAGAACTGAACACCCATGGTGTACCTCCACCTGCAAATAGATGCTGCTTATCATGTAAAACTGGATTACATCAACCAAGAGGTCATGCATTTGCTTTCAAATGGCAGTAATTTTCACCTCAATCGGGTGTGATTGTTCCAATGCATCTATACGTAGGCCATCAGCAGTCACTTGAAGAAATTGAGACCAAATTTTCCACTCAGGAAATAAGATGTCAGTGACTAAATAACTTACCTATAAACATCAAATTGCAGGATATAGAATAAAAACAAAATTATATCCATCGGAAGGCTCATAAGCAGAGGACACGTAGTGGAAATTCAAAGACTTACCCATGTTGCAAAACCTTCATTGAGCCATAAATGAGTCCACCACTCCATTGTCACCAAGTTGCCAAACCATTGATGGGCAACTTCATGTGTCACAACAATTACAAGCTGGCAAAATGAAAATGGTCAATAGAGGTGTATTGCAATGTTCCAAAGTCCACAAACAGTGAAATAATTACTGCTCTAGGCACAAGTATAGACATATGAGAACAAAAACAAAAAGTAAAATGTCAGAAGTCATGTGAACTTTTTTTTGGGGTGGCACAGAAAATTGTTAATCCAAACCCTTTGGGCATCGCAGAATTGTGAAAAAGGGAAAAGAATTGAAGTGTATCCAGGTTCATCATCTACCCTCTGTGTGTTAGCTACGGTGGAATGCAAATCATCTCGAAGCAGCTCCATTTCACGATAGGTAATTAAATCATAATTCTCCATGGCCCCACCAGAAAATTCAGGAACAGCAACCATATCCAACTTAGGAAGTGTGTAAGACATTGAGAAGTACCTACAGAATTCCACTATCAGCACAAACATTATAGTCAGAGAGTAAACAAAGCTTTTTTTCCTTTCTCATCTTTTGAACCTTTTAACATACAACATACACAAAGGGGAATAATTTATGATTTATGTGGGTCAGGTTTTATGTTGAGGACTCAGGGTCTAAAGCACACCCAATATATTTGACCCTCATAGTCACACGGTGAAAAGCACCCCGCCCCTTGTAGAATAATATCAATCACCCAACTTCGCAACGTCCATAGCTCGTTCTTGTTTATTGTTGATCCTCTCTTGGTTTTGAACTACATCACATTACAACTAATCAACATCCTAACTAGTTTCCCTTAGAAATAAAAGATTACTTCTTAAAGAACTCAAGCGCCTTCACTGCAATATTTAAAGCAAACTTCCCTTTTTCACTCTTACCAACAGGAGAGTATACGCGAACCTTAGTCCCTGCATGCAGAGTTATAAGAATCTGGAGAAAAGACAGAAATCAGCTAAAATTAATCAACCACTAACTTGTATGCATACCATCAACTGTGGTATCTTCAATATGATCAAATAGACCAACTACAACTGCCACTAAATAAGTTGACATAGTTTGTGATTCCTCAAAGCAAGTTGTCTTAAGGTGCCCATAATGTTTTTCTTGAGAAACTGGCATATTAGACAATGCTGTCAACTCCGATGGTACATTCTCCACTGTTATTTTAAAGGTTGCCTGTCAAGAATGTATTACTAATACGCTGAAACAGTTAAAAGTCAAAAGCAAACAACAACATCTAGCGTTTAAAGAAACCATATGAAAGAAAAGAAACTTTAATTCTGCACTGTTGCTCATTTCTCTGTTATTTTGTGTCATTATCATTCAGAACAAGTTCCTTGATCTAGTTTTGATTCTTGCCAGACAAAAATGAGACCTGCTTCACACCAGTTTTAAGTAGAATTTCACTAAGAACACAACAAACTTTTATGAGTGAGCTTCTCCCCTAGTGTTTCAATCCCAAAAATCAAGATGGCCGTTTAATGTCTGCATTTTGACTGCGTTAGGCGTTGGAGCTTTACGGCATGAAAAAAGTAACCAAATAGTCTAAAAGTACATACTATAGCAACGCTGATAACTGGAACATAATATCTTCATGTGGTATCTTTTGCAGGTAGGCAATCAACTAGATGCTAAGCGCACCCAACTAATGATTGATTAGGCCAAAACCCCGCTCACCTCCACCCCTATCATAGCTGGAAAATGAAAGTATTCAAGATCTACATGAATGATTCATAATAAAATGTCTGTAAGATGTATGGAACATCATCTGCAGTCACGTGGATATAAATATAGAAAAATTCCATTTTCAGTAATTGTTCCCTTTTATCAGGTCCAAATATGCAAGTATCATCTTGCAGCAAAAGAGCACTATGAATACCAGCTATGAGTACTGAGCATGGACAATACAAAAGCACCTTAGACCCCCTTCAACCAAATTTAAGTCATGACTTACCACCTAAAAAAATTCTAATTATCCAACCAATAATAAAACAAAATTATCTTGCCTCTTTTCAAATTTGATCAGAGGTCATTGCGACCATGAAAATAAGGGCCATACAGTCCCAACTCCCAACATTAAATAACAAACATTTAACCAATTTAAACACAAAGAGTGGCTAATAAGGTATATACCTTGAGAGCAGGTTCATCCCAACATGGAAAAAACCGTCAGGCATCCACTGCTTCAAATTGAGTCACCACCATGTTCTTCTTCTCTCCACCATCCACATAAGTACTGTAAAAAGCTCAATGATCAACTCCGATGATAGAACTGCTCCAAAAACATATAAATGCTTCATTTGATTGCTGGAAAAAAAGTCTACTTCAAATAATCCTTGTCTATAGACTCTTGGGATGAGTTTGAGTTTTTCTCCCTTCAAAAACAAGAATAACTAGACAAAAATAGACGGAAGAGGAAAAACTACAGAAAAAATAGAGGGCACCATCTGTAGAAGCCCTTCAGATGTTCATTAAGAACTCCAGAAAAGCTAATCTCTAAAACTCCATTCCCTACGCTTAATGCCTCATCAAACGCCAACACAAGTATCTCATCGTCACTGTCCACCACTATATCAGATGGAATATACTTCTGCAAGTCACAAACAGCCCATGCCCACAAATCTTGAAGAAATCCAGTTAAAATTAGATTACAAAAATTGCATGTAAATGAGACGTACCTGGTTCCGATAGTCAGAAACAGAGACTTCATGGATGTCCAGCTCGAGGGCATTCAAGACGAGGAATTGGGTAACATGAACTACGGAGAGCTCAATTTGTACCAACCCCGAATACGTGCAAGCTGAGAGATCGGGTTTCAGAGTGAGATCATAGCGTTTTGGGATTGCGAATTTAGGAAGCCTGTTTTGGCCTTTGAATTGCTCGAGCTTCTGTGCCTCAACCTCCATGCTTATCTTTGTGATCTTGCTCTCTCACTGAGTGGGAGTGTAATCTGATGGTGGAGGTGATAGGTATACATTATTTGTAGTGACTGCGTTGGGACTTATTTCAACTTCGGAAACCACGTCTGTGGTCCAGACTCCTGACTTTGGGGTCAAGCCTTCCGTGGTGGGGTCGGAGAGGAAGAAATACAGAGAAATTCTGGGAGTTGTATTATTTATATGTGACAGTGAAACTTGTATTATTTATGTGACAGTGAAACTCAAGATGGATAACAGAGAAGAGGAAACGCTGGTAAACTGGTGATAATAAGCTTAGAGATGAAGTCATAGCCAGAATTTGGTGTGGGCTCTCTCAAAATTCTGACTTGTAGCTTAGGACATATATGGCAGCACTTGCTTCCAAATTTACTCTGACCAAGCAGAGCTGTTCATCTAGTGTAGGTTTCGCCGAATGTCTCATGGCTAGATTCCATCAGACCCCATTTAGCTAGGTTCGTGCGCTGCATTATTTGAGTTCCTGGGAGTGTGGACAAAGCTCCATTCTGGATGATGCTTTAGCATGAGTTTGACAGAACAGACCAATGTGGTTAATAAGAGGAAGCATAGAAGAATGTATGGTGTGCTGTGAATCTCCTTTTACGATCAAATAGTGCCATTCTTTGGTAATTCTAAATCAACTTTGTTTAGTTCAGAAGAGTGCTTGAGATGGTATATGTGTTTACACACAATAAACGGTCTCATCAAATGTGCAAACCACAGTTCTATATTCGAAAAGATAAGACTGCAGTACAAAAAATCAAAGACATAATTTCCATTAAACATTCAAAACTGAAACTTCTGCAACAAAAACTGTCATCAAATTGAACTGATGATAAGCTTCTCAAAAAAGTAAATGAGCATTAGATATTGTCCCCTCTAGTCTACCAGGCACTAAGCACTCCAATCAAAAGAGTCATCCAATGCTCTAGACCAAAACAAGAGCTAAAAATAAAATTTGGATCTCAGACCAAATAATATGATAGGAGCACAAAGAGCAAAAACTGGCAACGCTCATAGGAGAACTAGTACTTTGAGTCTTTGCTCAACAGATACTTCTTCAGGACATCCATAACCGACCCAAAATCCGCCTTCACTTGCACTGGCGGATTAGCATACCGGCAAGCCAGGTCCTTGATATCCTTTGAATGGTAATCAATCTTTGACTGCGTAAACTTCAACCCATGAGCCGTGCTCACCACAACTGTCCTATCGGTAGGCCTAATAACCTCACTTTTCCTGAGCTTGATCAATGCAGTCAATGCAACCCCGGTATGAGGACATATAAACATCCCAGTTGAATCTGCCTGAGCCATGGCATCCATCAGTTCCTCCTCGGTTGCTTCCTCAACAATCCCATTAGAGTTCTTCAGAGCAAACACAGCTCTATCTATAGAAACGGGATCACCAATCTGTATGGCTGATGCAAAAGTGGTATTAGCCTTCATGGGTTTAAACTCTTTCCACCCTGACTTGTAATGTAAATAAAGAGGATTAGCATTTGCTGCTTGAGCACAAACAAGCCTAGGAATCCGATCAACCAGCCCTAATTCTTTGCACATGAGAAACCCTTTGTAAAATGCATATATATTCCCCAAATTTCCACCGGGAACAATCACCCAATCCGGCACTTCCCAATCAAATTGCTGCAAAATCTCAATTGCCGCTGTCTTTTGGCCCTCCAACCTCAAGCTATTCAAAGAATTCGCCAAATAAATCGGCAATTCGGACGTAATTTCCCGGATCAACTGCATACAACCGTCAAAATCCGTGTCCAGACTCAACACAAACGCCCCATTTGCAATCGGCTGAACCAACTGTGCAATTGAAATCCTATTCGCAGGTAAAAACACAACGGATGGAATCCCTGCAGATGCACAGTAAGCGGATAGGGCCGCCGATGTGTCACCGGTGGACGCACAGCCAACACCGACGACTGGACGGTTCATTTTTCGTAACCGGTTCACTTGACTAACCAAAACAGTCATGCCCAGATCTTTGAAACTCCCAGTATGACTAATCCCACAGTGTTTGACCCACAATTCATTCATGCCCAGAAACAGTTTGCCGAAGCGCTCAGCCCAGAAAAGATTCGAATTTCCCTCAAATGCGCTGACGATATCGTCGCCATCGATCTCAGGGAGGACCCACTCTTTTTTGGACCAGACGCCGGAGCCGTAGGGCCAATTGGTCTTGCCGACGCGAGAATCGAAGAGGGATCGCCAGTACTGGCCGTCAAACTTCTTCAGAGCGTCCATGTCATGTTGGACGTCCAGGAGGCCACCTGAGCGGCTTCGATATACGATCTCATCGAGGGAATAGGACTCAGTGCAGTTTGGATCGGCGTTGAAGGGGACGTACTTGGCGGAAAAGTTGTGATTGGAGCTGTGGCGTCGGGCTTCATCGCGGATGTTCTCATCAGCTGGACGGCGGTGTTTCGACAAGGATTGGAGTGGTGCGGAGGCGTCGACGGAGGCCGCGGAGATGTTAGGTTCGGGGGAGGTGGAGGATTTGATGGGGAAGAAGTTGGTGTTGGGTCTGGGGTTTAGAGGGGTGGTTTGGAGTTGGGAGGGAGGAGAGAGAAAGGAGGATCTGAAGATCGAAGAAGCCGCCATTGACGAGAGTGCGAGAGAGCGAGACACCGCAAGCAGATGGGAGGTGGCGAGGCGGGCTGTATGGTGAGGGCTCGTTGGGTTGAAGTGTAAATTATGTATTTGGTCCGTGACTTTCGTGTCAATTACTTAAGTTAATTAAACTCCTAAATTATCTAATTATTTTAATCAAGTCTAACTATTTGGGTTTCTAATGGGAGGGTGCAGATTTAAGTCAATTATATCCCTAAACTATCTAATTATTTCAATCAAGTCTAACTATTAGGGTTTTTAATCGGAGAGTGTGGAGTGTATTGGTCACATGCCTTCTTTAGAGGTGGTTTAGGGAACCCATTAAAGATATGAGTAAATTATGTATTTGACCCTCAAATTATGATCTTGTATCAATTAAGCTCTTGAATATTACATATGGTTGATCTTTCGTCTCCAAATCTCGAACAGCAACTCTCAGACCAAAAACTTAACCCACTACATAAAACTTATGTGAGTCTCTATTGTTCATATAATTTCAATTTGCAATAACTCATCAATATATTGGTTAGTACGTAATGTAGATGATGTCCTGCATCCAAATCAAATATGTCTCTCTATTTAATTTAGGTTTTGCATTTTTTGTATGCTTGAGCATGTACACCATTGATGAGTTGTTGATTGAAATTGTATGAACAATAGAAACTCACAAAAGTTTCATGTGATGGGTAAGGTTTTTGGTCTGAGAGTTGTTCTTCGAGATTCAGATATGAAAGGTCAAATCATTTGTAATATTTGAGGGTTTAATTGGCACAAAGGTTATAATTCGAGAATTAAATACATAATTTACTCATGTCTTTAAGGAGGGTTGCTTAAAATGCCCCTGGAGAAGGCACGTGATCAGCACACTCCACACCCTTTCGTTATAAACCCTAATATAAGGGCTTGATTTAAACAATTAGATAGTTTAAGGGTTTAATCAACTCAAAAAAAATGTTTATAGACTTAATTAATCCAAGGGTCATAATTTGGTAACAAAATACATAAATTTATTATTGGGTTAAAACATAAATTAACCATATGATCATTAAATATATCACTAATTACATTTGGATTCTTACACTTCTAATCTCACCAATTTAATCCTTGGTTTTCACACACTAGAACAATGTGGTCCATAACCTTAAAACAACATGGACCTGCAGCCCATCCAAGTTGGTAAAGTTTCTTTGTGTATAAATTTGTCCTTAGGCCACTAATTTCATTGGGGTGTCCCTGCCTATGGAATGTGCTATATTTGTAACCTTGTGGGTTATATAGCACGAGATAAATACATGAATTTTTAAAGATATGTGCGACTGTTTGGATAGTTTATCAATTTTTAGCGTCTTTTTGGGCCCTGATTGCAAAGAAGTTTAATGAGATTCTATTTTTTACTATACTATTATTACCCCCCCCCCCCTTAGCTAGTTGGAATGGTTATGGCATGCGGGATGCCTCATGTCTTAGCCAAATTGGGAGTGTGTTTGGCCAAGTAACCCTTTTTGTGCAAAGTTGTGCAAATCGGCTTCCCCAGGACCCTTTGCCATATAGCCTTGACACACTAAAGTTGTAAACTCCCACACTCTTATCTTTATATAGTAAGTAATTATTTCTTTTTGAAATGCTAATATTGTAAAATCCAGATAAATATATGAAATCATTTGTAATAGAACTTGTGTCAACTATATTTGATGAACAAATTTATGTTGTATAAGTTTGAATTGGTTTTGGAAGGGTTTGAAATGGATTGGAAATGAAAAATCAGGTGTTCTGGGAAGCGTACCGGTACTGTGAACACCAGAAGTTAAAGTGTACCGGTATTGTCTACTCTGAACCAGTTTTCGTATAATTGTCATAACTTTTGATCCAACCTTCCGANTGTCTTTAAGGAGGGTTGCTTAAAATGCCCCTGGAGAAGGCACGTGATCAGCACACTCCACACCCTTTCGTTATAAACCCTAATATAAGGGCTTGATTTAAACAATTAGATAGTTTAAGGGTTTAATCAACTCAAAAAAAATGTTTATAGACTTAATTAATCCAAGGGTCATAATTTGGTAACAAAATACATAAATTTATTATTGGTTTAAAACATAAATTAACCATATGATCATTAAATATATCACTAATTACATTTGGATTCTTACACTTCTAATCTCACCAATTTAATCCTTGGTTTTCACACACTAGAACAATGTGGTCCATAACCTTAAAACAACATGGACCTGCAGCCCATCCAAGTTGGTAAAGTTTCTTTGTGTATAAATTTGTCCTTAGGCCACTAATTTCATTGGGGTGTCCCTGCCTATGGAATGTGCTATATTTGTAACCTTGTGGGTTATATAGCACGAGATAAATACATGAATTTTTAAAGATATGTGCGACTGTTTGGATAGTTTATCAATTTTTAGCGTCTTTTTGGGCCCTGATTGCAAAGAAGTTTAATGAGATTCTATTTTTTACTATACTATTATTACCCCCCCCCCCCTTAGCTAGTTGGAATGGTTATGGCATGCGGGATGCCTCATGTCTTAGCCAAATTGGGAGTGTGTTTGGCCAAGTAACCCTTTTTGTGCAAAGTTGTGCAAATCGGCTTCCCCAGGACCCTTTGCCATATAGCCTTGACACACTAAAGTTGTAAACTCCCACACTCTTATCTTTATATAGTAAGTAATTATTTCTTTTTGAAATGCTAATATTGTAAAATCCAGATAAATATATGAAATCATTTGTAATAGAACTTGTGTCAACTATATTTGATGAACAAATTTATGTTGTATAAGTTTGAATTGGTTTTGGAAGGGTTTGAAATGGATTGGAAATGAAAAATCAGGTGTTCTGGGAAGCGTACCGGTACTGTGAACACCAGAAGTTAAAGTGTACCGGTACTGTCTACTCTGAACCAGTTTTCGTATAATTGTCATAACTTTTGATCCAACCTTCCGATTGAGATGAAATTTTAACACAACACATAGGACATCCATATATACAACTTTTATGTTTTGAACTTCTTCAAATTCGAAATAGATTATGGTCAAAAAGGATGAAAACCGAGGTACTGCCATCAAATAGTGTGGATACTAATGCCTAAGTTGTCAAAGCTTTGGGACTAAGTATTATGTCCTTCAAATGTTATAAATGGACAATAATAGAGTACCAAAGATGGTATGTTGGACCTCGAATGGGTCAATTGATTTAAACATTTATTAAGAACGATTCGGAAGCATGAAATAGTAATTTTAGTGTTTCAGATGTAAATTATTTTAGTATAAAGATAAATCATAAAATTAAATATTTTTAGGTTAAAATAACATTAAAAATGAATCCAGAACGTCTAAAAACCTTAGAGTAGTCATAGGGATCAAATTTGAGATATTTAATGGCAAAACCAAAATTTTGGATAAAAATATAATTTTTGGCCCTGTGAACCATAAAATTCGGGATTTATTGGCTTTAAAGCACCACTTTACTGCCATTTTCCTCCATTCTTTCACTCCACTCTCACCACAACTCTTTAAAATCCTAGGGGAAGATTAGAGAAGAAAAAAAAGGGAGGAAGAAAGTCTATAGAGCTTGGACTTTACTTAGAACTTTTGATTCAAGGTGGAGGTTCCTTCCATTATTGACCATTGAGGCTAGGGCTTACATGTTTACATGTTTTGACTCTAAAGCTTATTTATATGCATTGAAAACCTTAATTCTTGATATTCTTTCAAAAAATATCATATTTTAAACAAAGTTAGGGTTAGATAACTATAAAATCTCTTTTCTTGGTAAAAAATCATAGTTTTAAAAAGAAATGAGTTTTCCTCTTGATTCTTCCTCTATTATTGATTTAAAAACTCTAGTGCTTTATATTGAACAATAGAATGGTATTGTTGAGGGTCTCTTGCTTATTTTCTTAAATTGTTTTATTGTAATATTACATGAAAATTTGGGGATTTTGAAATTGAATTGTTATGTGAGAAATTAGTTGGAGATTATATCTTTTGAGGATATTGGGATGACCATGGGTGGCCATTGACCGGGGTATCATAGAGTGGGTAAATGAGTTTCTTACTCCTTATGGATTTGAATTTTTCCTACCATTCATAGGGGTTGGTGCCTTGTGAGGACTAAACTACTATTCGCTCACGGGTACTGTGGTTGAGAGTACTCCTGGGTTGGATTCGTCACTGTCATTGTGTTGGTATACGCCATTTCTAAAAGTTGGAGATCCTTGCGAGGATTGGGTGTGTGAGTGTAGGTCAAAATATTCTTAATGTGTCGATTCATGCGATATCATACATCATGCTTAAGATACAAGTACAAATTCATAAATACAAGTTGTGGTTGATTTACATTATGGGTAATGTTACAAACGGTAGATTATGGTTCAATGTTAAAACGGTTTATTTCTTGAAAATTGGTTTCTCTTATCATTTAATTATTGATATTGTGTAAACTAAAGATCTATTGGAATGCTGCTATTTTATTTCAAATGTTATATATGAAATTTGTGAAATGAGACTAGCTATTTTTATATTTTTTCTAAACCTTGTTCAAGTTTGGAGGGATGTTGCTACAGAGATTAGTGCTTACCCCCTACAATATTATTCATTCTCAGATGTCAGTTTAGATGAAGAACTTGGAGTTGACAAACAGGTGGCTTGGAAAACATAATTGGAGGAAAGCGTGGATCCCGAGGGGGATGTCTAGAGTTGATGTCTCCATGTTGTAGATTAAGGGATATATTTTGGTACAGTAATAANGTCAAAGCTTTGGGACTAAGTATTATGTCCTTCAAATGTTATAAATGGACAATAATAGAGTACCAAAGATGGTATGTTGGACCTCGAATGGGTCAATTGATTTAAACATTTATTAAGAACGATTCGGAAGCATGAAATAGTAATTTTAGTGTTTCAGATGTAAATTATNAAATGTATTTTATTTATTCCGCTGCAAGATTAAGCTTGATTTTTTTGAAATGTAATTGTCATAGTTTGATATATTATTTGGGAATGTAGATGTCATAGTTCGGCATATTCTTTTGGATAATGTTGTAGATATTATGAATG